ATATACATATATATATAACATGAAAAGGTTGAGCTAAAAGCTTGCATAAGTTTTAATTTTGTTGATAAGAAAGAAGAAATTGCAAACAAAGCTTATTGAACTAGAATAAGCACAAATAATATTTATCTATATTTTGCATATAATATGCTATAAATTAGAAAAAAAATTAAACTTGATGCATCACTGCTCTTAAATTTTCATGAAAAGCAAATAAATTTTGTGTTGAAAAACTAAGTTTCGAATCACTGTTTTGATGCTGATAAATTTGTGAAAATTAATTTACGATTTTAAGATCATATATTGCTACTGATTTTGTTACTGATGATGTTTGACGCCTTTAAATTTTGTTTTGTATCATACAGAATAATATAAATGTGCTATTATTAACATTACACATAAAACAACAAATTTAGTATTTAATATCAAACTCATTCAATAACAGACAACATTCTTTGGTAATATGAATAATAATAATGACGATAAATGCAGTATTAGGGACAACAATAATAATTATAATGATGATGGTAAAAGTACAACAGATTTTTGGTATAGACACATAATTAGCAGTGGTTTGTTCTAAATATGAATAACAAATTCAAGTAAACTGAAGTCATTACATATATTTCTACTTTATTAGTGATGTATTATTAGGAGACTATAATATATTTTGCATAACTTAAACATTAGGAATTATTTCAAAAACATTAGGAATTATTTCAACCAAAGTTACTGCTTAAAGTTCGCATATGACTTTTTGAAATTTACATATTATTTGATATCAAAAATTACTATTTAAAAGCCAAAATAGCAATTGTTTTGCCGTCAAAAATACATAACAATTAATACTAATTTTGAATACTTCAAGTATGTATCATATATAAGCAGGAATGCAGAAAGCCAAAGAATTGAAACTTTATGAATTGCAACGAACTGAAGTAAGAATTTAATAAAAACAAATCAAAAAAAGACTGCGTAGACTAAGTCGCACTTTTAAACCTTATTCTAGTTATTGAATATAGTAAGCAAAATAATTGAAACAAATAAGGCATATGCAAAAACGAATACTGGGGAAAAGCTAAAAAAATTATGCTAATTTTTTAGCAAATTCGATTAAACGAGAAAATAAATGAAAAGTAAAAACAAATAGACTCAGAAACTTTGATATTGTCAACACGAAACGGTTGGTTTTATTGTGAGGTTTTAAAATTGGTACAGATTTGTTGGTAGCACCATTATTATCTTTTATGAATGTGGTCAGATTAATTTCATTTTTATTGTTGTATTATAAAGGCAGCGTTTAAAAATGACAGTTGGTAGTTTTAGATGGGCGTTAAACACGAAGATTTAGGGCCAAGAAATGCTTCTTCACCATCGGCACCACTTGATGGAGCACCACAGTTTCCTAAAAGAGTACGAGCACAACCGGGAGGACCTTCACAACGTCTTGGGACATCACCGAAAATGCTTGTAAAAGCATTACCTAGAGAACCAGGTGTATCTGGGAAACCATGCTTTTCCGCTCCAAATTCATTAGGTGGTGAAGTTTCACGAGATCGGACCGAACTAAAGTCTGCTTCTGTGGGAGCTCCAGGTTTACTTCTTGTTACAAAAAGACACTTTGATGGACTCAAGAATTGGGACTATTTCTGAGACCCGCAGCAATATACATGAGGTATAAGACTAAGACTTGCAAGCTCGTTCACTGAAATCTCAAATGAATACTAGATGTGGTTGCTTAAAGAATTTTTTTTCTTATCTGCTTTTATTACTTGCTAATTTAAGGTGTCCTAGAATCACAAAATGCAGTGAAAGTGCAAATTCCAAAAAAAGCACTGGTATCTATGGTTTGTACTTCTGAAGCATTGAAAATGAAAAATTGAAAGTTTCTAGTCTTTTTTTTCATCAGTATCAGAAAATTTTCTTGCAATGTTCCATTCTATTCACTGGAATTAGCTATTAACAAAAAACCATGATTTTGTAGGCTGTTGATTACGAAGAAGAAGGTAAGCATCACGTATTGTTTTTATTTTTTATGCTAATGAAATATTTTTTCATCTTTTTTCATAAGTAACCTCTAGGTTACTAATTCGTAAAGTAATGAAAATTTATAAATTAATCAGCAAAAATATCAAAAAATGAAAAACTTCTGAAATGAAATAATTTGGAAAATGATGTCTTCAGAACGCAAGTATACAGGTGCTCAGAAAATGTGTATGGTAATATCTGGCATAATGGCAGTATTTTTTCTTATGACAGTGATTGCTTCAGTTGTTATCTTAGTCACTGGTTTCAAGATTTTTACTTAAGTTTGCAGCTGACTTTCTCTAAAATCCAAATGCAGTACTCAAACTTGACACTAGAATAAACTTTACCAAACGCATTTCATTAGACCACGAATTCTGTAAGAATTCGCCTTTAAAATTGTATTTTCTTTGCAGAAATTTGATGCATTTAGACAGATAAATTACTTATAATCAGTTTAGGTTTGATATTAAAAAAATCACATTAATAGATTCAAGTCGGACCACGCTTTGTATTTTTTCTGGAAATGTTTCGCATTTATGAAATATTCCCAACAAAGCTTTTTAAATGTTTCATCCTGGCACTAAAAACATTTTTAACAAAAAATCGTAATCTGTAAAAATGAATCTTTCCACGTTTTTCTCTTATTTGTATTACATTTACGCAAGTTATTTCTTAGTTCTTCACTTTTTAAGTGCTTCATTTTCAAAAATCTCTTGCAAAAGTCTGAACATAAAACTTGTTTCTTCAGCATGGCTATCAGTCATTATTTGGTTAGACTAATTAGTACTCGTCAAGGACTAGCGAACTCACTTCTTGCTATTTATGTTTTTTGACATATTTGTTGATATCATTTAATAAATTATTCCTTTTACACGAAAATGTGACTACGCAAAAGAATCTGTAATTAACATATGTTAAGCCCTCATTATGCAATTTCAAAAGCCAATTACTTTAATCCATCAATGGGCAATTTTGAACCGATAATTCTTCCATTTCATGCAATAACACTAATTTGCACGTGTTAATTACTAATCTACTGTCAAACACGAATTAGCAATAATTTCAATTCTGCATTACTTATCCACTTAATCATTTGTTATCCCTATTAAATTATAACAGTAAATATTTCATCCAGAAAAAAATGCTTATCTTGAAATAAATTATTTGTCACAAGAAGATAAAATTAAAGATTATAATTAAAAATAAATCCGATATCATTAATAGAGGCAATGAAGTTATCACATGCAAGTATACAATTACATAAGTGAGATACAAAAAAAAATTTAATGAAGCAAATCGTTCAAAGTGAAATTGAATAAGTACAACAGAATCGAATAAAAAAAATAGACTTGTACCATTCATAATACTCAATAACATTTACCAAGTGAATAAATATCTTGACAGCAAAAAATACCGAACGCTCGTCGAAAATATTCCTTAACTTCAACTATCAACATTTTTGAATTTTATTCTATAGTCATTTGTCATTTGATTCAATGAACACAAATTTACATAATTCAAAACATAAACCAAATACGCATGATCTTCAAAAATGCATTTAAAAATTCTTCAAATATTAACTTTTTTGATGCATTTTTTCTTTTCAATCAAACAAAATTTTGAAAACTTTTTTCAGTTACGATTATAGAGAATTTTGCGCGAATCACACATATATTGAAAAAATAATGCTTATAATTTATTTTCTCGTAGTCTAAATTCTTGTTGTCAATAGATGAGCCAAATAATCGAGATCACTTTATACTATAAATTTAAAAAAATATCATGCTTTGTTATATTAATACAAACGATAGATGCAATATGAAGAAATATTGTAATTTAAAAATTGCAATACAAAGAATACTGAAAATGAAAGTTTCGTGTAATAATATAACAAGCTGGCCTCAAATTTATCGAAATTATGGCCTGCTTTATACTCTTTTCTTTTCTTGATCTACTTTTTGCAAATTTTAAATACTTCATTAAAAAATTAGAGAATGTGAGAAACTGGAAGATTATTTTAAGACCACTTATAAGCGAAATAAGAATACTACATTAGCTGAGCACAATATTCACCCATTTAACATACTTCTGGTATGGCTAAGCCGACGAAATCGATGTATAAGATGGCGAGAATTTTCTTCGTTTCCTGCTTTTATCTTTCCATGACGAAGGCGGAGATTAGCTGCTGCCTAAATCAAAAAATTTTAAAACACAAATTCTAGTGAATAATTAAATTACTTAAATTTCACTGAATTAAGCAGTGACAATAAAAGATCGAATCTTCAACATAAATTAACATGAAATTTGTTTTGTCGCTATACAGAAAAATTTTTTAATGTGAGAAAATAATCAAGTTTATTGCTATAACAAATGAGTTTTTTCTGTTCAGTGCTTAACTTGAAATAATATAATCTGTAAAGATGTCGAAAAGAAGGCATTGATGACTACCTGAATAACACGTAAACGCTGTCGATAGTTTTTTGCCCGAACGTGGTCATTGAGTACCTAAGTAATAGAATTAAGTGAACTTAATACATAACAAGAAAGAAGAAATTATCCCTTTAAAAAGTCGTCAAATGTAAATAGAAATAGAGCAAAGAAATATTATTCTTTTTACCGAATATATATAGGATTAGCATAATTTGAAAATTGTTATGTTTTTGTTAATTTGGAGTTATGGTGATTAGAATGCTGAAAATATTTAATGTTTATCAAATTTTCTTTCGTAGGTTTCATTAACGATAACTCAAAATTTTGTTTAAGATTAACTAAAAATTACTTGTTGCACATACGATGAAGGAAACCAGCCGCTAAAACCATCACGAACGCGTTCTCCAAAAAGCCAACCTAAAACAATGGTAATAAAATGGTACAGCATGAGAATTGATAGAAATAATAAATGGTTTGCATAGTAATTAAATAAATGAGTAAATAGCTAGATGAAAATAAGTCAAGTACCATCAGGCATTTTACGTAGTACATTGATTAAGTCGCCTTTTTCGAGAGTTAATTCGTCCTCTTGTCCTGAGGAATAGCGATGAACAGCAACTGCTTGCGGACAATCCCAGTCTGCATAAATTTTCTCTTCCGGATTCGTGCACTGAAATTCGAACATTTTACTAGCACAACACATTTATTGAGCTACTTCTCTATCCTTAAAACTTCAGTAATTGACATTATCACATGAAAAGATGCAGACGTTTAAATGCATGAAGGTTATTCTTTTTTCTCAATAATCATTCACTTTATGCACAAAGTTTCTGACATTATTAAATGCATTATTACAACAAAAATATACAAATGAAACCAGAAGCTAAGCAACAAATATATCCATACAGCAGGTGGCCTTAAAGCTGAAAGCCATCGTTCACGATCAGTTTCAGAATCAGCATTTAGTAGGAGTTCAACCTGTTTCCCTACAGCATTATGCATCAGCGTACAGATGAATAAATGTGGTTTTTTCAGAGGAATATGCGCGGTTACCCATTGTAATAACTAAAACACACATTTATAAAATTCTAAACTTGTGTACTTTTGCTGCTAAAAGTGAACAATACGACTGAAACAGTGTGCGTTATAATACTGACTATAACTTAAAATTTAATAAAATGTCCATCTTTTATGATCGATAACTTGACAAAAATATTATCCAATTTTCAACAGCCGTAAGTGATATAATCTGCTGCTTCAAATTTTTGTTTCATATGTCAAAACTTCAGTAACAAATATGCTAAAACACAGTCAAGACTTTCACACCTGCTGATCTGGAAGATTTATATCCAATTCTTTGGCTTATCTTGACAAAACTTATCACTATATTGTTTTAACATGTAGTGATACAAATATGTGCCATATCATCAAGTCAATATGAAAATCTACCACACCATTATTTTTGAGCAAAAGCCAAGATTTTGAGTTTCCAACTCGATGATAAAAAGTCAGAAATTTCTTCAATAAGCTACAAACCTTGGGATCATCAATTTCAACCGGTTCAATATCAACAAATCGTCTTGCTGAATAATCTTTACATATAAAGGTTCCATTACTGAAAGGAAATGAAAATAATTAGGTCAAAGACATAAAGTAAGCATTTTTATATAAATATTAAGTCGAAAAAGGGAGCCGAAAAATAATTTAACATCTTGAATAAATAAACTTTTCATAGCAGTATGTACTGTTCTTTATTTATTACATGCTATCAAGTGGAAATTTTTAGTCAAATAATTTTAAAATAATAAAATAAAATGACTGAAAAGCGTACACTTTCTTCTTAGTTAGCATAATAATATCGTTGAAAAGAAAAATATAAATATTCTGAAAGTGCTGACGAGTGTTTAAAAGCTTCTTTGTACGTTTCTCAGTCAAATACGTCAGTGATCCTCGCTTAACTAAATAGCGACCAGAAGAAACCAAAGGAATGCGTCTAAAATAATTCACTGTAAATGTGATAATTGTGAAAATTTTCTTCTACCTTAATAATAATCTGCATACAAAATTAAATGAAAATAACTATTTCAATAAGTATTACTTCAAATCAGATGACTTATAAACAAGACGACGTTCGATTTCTAGTAACTGCTCAGTACGCTCCATTCGTCTGGCGCCTTCGTTGCAGCAAGTCACAATCTCAAAATTTACTTATTGCTAAATATTTCTCATACTAATAATCATCTTTAGAAACATTTAACCTGACTATCTTCCTTAAAAATTGCTCTCACATTTCTTGTGGTACTGGAATTAAAATAATCGTGAACTTTTGCTTTCTAAATTTTTATGACATGAACAGCTTTTAGATGTTAAAGAGAATTAGTTTCATTTTAAAGCTTCAAATAAAAAAGTTATCTGAGTTAGAAAATTTTTTTCTGAAATAAAAAATCAGTGCTTTTTGCTTTTGCAAAAACAATGATAGATATGATTTTTATGATAATTATAAACAATTTTAATATTTTTAAGCAAAAGAAAAAAGTAAAAGCAATGCTACCTTATTAGCAAGATGCAACGCAATTTGGGCAGTCTGATAATTTGTTGTGTCATGTTGCGTATGTTCAAGAATTGCGATCACCAAAAGTGGATATCGAGTAACCCTTTGCATAGGTAACATCAAAAATGATCGCATGTCTAATCCTTGGCATAAACGGTCGCTCTCAAGGCGCTGTATGCAAGAAAGAAATGTTGAATTTTCAGATCTGAAAAAACATGAATATATTTTACAGCAGTATTAGCATTAGAGCTCATTAAGCTCTTGAATCTAAACATGTAAAAATTAAAAAATGGAAGAGTTGAAATTACTGCAATTAAATTTTTAGGTTGACTAAATAACACTTTTTTTAATGAACAAACTTGAGTCTGCGAAGTGTACGATCTTGATAAACTTGATTGGAACAATATTTGACATAAGGATCAAAATTTGCTTCAAAATGGTCACATAAAATATCACACACATCAGATAATACCAAATTGTCTTGTAATCTATTTTCTAGATCTGATAACAATCTAAAAAAACCAAAAAAAATGAACTTATTAATTTTATCAATGCAAACAACAGATAGTTTTATCAGATCACAAAAAGCAAATCACTTCAGACGGTAAAAAATTTTTAAAGTTAAAATTTCTTGTTTTAACAAAACTATTAAATGTGATAAATTAAATACATCAATACTGAGTAAAAAACGCAAAATGAAATAAATCTAGAAAACATGACAGTTGCAATAAAATTTTGCAACCTTTCACTACAATCACGAACTGCAAATATATTGCTAAAAAGTTGCTTCCGTTCTTCGTTTACTATCACTGATGAAGATCCTTTGGAACCTGGAAATTCGCAATAAAATGTATAGCTCAGCAAGGCGTAAGCATTCTTATTACAAAATAATTACTTTACAAGAACTTGCCAAGCATTTCCGGAGCAGCCATAAAGTGCGTGATTAAGATATTGACGGAACGAAGGTAGGATGCTTCGCTTGTGATCACTTCAAAATAGGCTTCTTGAAGTTTCTTTGTATCGCTGTCCAATTTCTCTAGTAAGCCTGCATTTCTTACCTCAAACATGCAAGGTAAGAAATACTTAATCAGAAGAAATTTTCGAAAATTAAAAATGTTTCTATTAGTCTTGTTAGTCTTGTCAAAAATTGAACTACTTGCCAAATTATCGATAAATATTGCACTGATTACAGCGTTAAAACGGTCTTTAAATATCTTTGTGGAAAGTACTAGCAAGAAACTCACTTCTGGTAATTCACACCATAGTGATCGTTGACTTCCAAAATGGCTGACTGCTATTAAACGATTGCGTTTCATTGAAGTATTAGAAGTTAGCTGTGATATGGTAGTAGAGCAATCTGCTCCGCGACCACTGTCTGTTGATGCAATTGAAGGAGCTCGCTGCACCTGAATTTTCAAAATACCGATGCTTAAAATGAAATTCAGATGAATATGTTCCAATTAATTTCTTACATTTGGTACTTTGTTACCACTGATACTTGGCTGCCTTTCATCCTGCTCATCTTCATACATTAATCGGTCATTTTGTTCCATCATATAAATTTGATAAAGTGGTTGTGGATCAGGAATTATTCTAAAAACAATGATACAATTTTTAAATGTAACCAGCTTTGGTACAAATGAAATCAAATTATACCTAGGAGTATAAATTGATCGATCAAATTCTTTCAGAGTATATTCTGATGAGGTACTCGGAAGATAGTTTCGCTCAGGTGATGACAAAGATGATGGAAGCTATAAACTTTTTTTATTACAGTTCAATTTTATCACTTACTTTCCAAACATGTGTGACGATTTTTTAATTAACAAGTAATTAAAATTTCGCTAAATATTTTTGCATCTGCTGTGAATCATTTCAGCAAAATTCACCAAGATTTCATAGCTCTCTTTTGCTGTCATTCTTTCTTGATCACTGACAGTCTCAGCAAGACTTTTACCAAGTATTTCTTTACTATCAATCTCAACACCTTCACAAGCGTTTTTAAATTCATCAAACGGAGGCCGTTCGATGATTGACTTGCTGTTTTGTGGTAATTGATCAACACTTAACGATCTTCTTTTTGATTCCAATACGACATCTAAAAAAATAATCATTTATGATTGTTTTTCATTTTCATTTTGCTTTACAGCATTAGTATTTTTTTTTATCAGTCTGTTAGCCGTTTACTTTATCATAGCACTCACAACTTATACGCATATTTGCTGTATACATAAAGAACAGCGTAACTGCAAATTAATAATGTTTATGACATAAAATAGCAACGACAGATGAATGCGATAATTTTGAATAACGATGTGCTTGATTACCGGGAAGATTGCTGAGAGGTTGAAATCTAAGCCGCAACTCTCGTTCAATCTCAGACAGCATTGAATACGATGCTGCTTCTGGTAAATTTTTGCTCGTTTCAGTTTGATATTCTTGCCTTTGTTCTATTAAATTCAGCATTTTAGTATATTCATGTGATTTTTTCTTTTTTTTGCACAATTTTTCACATTAACTTATTATTCATCATGCGTCACTGAATGAATCATTGAAATTAATAGGAAAAGAATCTTAACCTTGATCAGAAGGATTTTGCTTATTTATTGTACTTGTGGAGTCATCTTCATCAGATGACCAATCATCACCGTAAATATATTGCTCATTCAATGGAAAGTCAATTTTAGCAATAACATCATCATCACGATTTTCCATTTTTTCCTGATTAACGTAAAACATTGAAGAAAGCCTCTGACATTTTCTTTTGTCTTGTGAGGCAGAACTAACTTTGAGCTTGATTTGGCCAACCTTAAAATCCAGTACATAAAAATGCGAAATTCCAGTCACTAAATAAAGGATAATTAAGCAAAATTACATATCAATTATTTCACTTACACTGCTAGATAATTTTGAGTAATAAAATGATGTAAATTGAAATAGAAAAGCTTAACATAATTTTCATTATCTGGTCAAAAAATTTTCAATAATTATCTGCCAACTTTTTTGTTGCATAACTCAACTTTTTAAAAATACCCGGGCTTTTTTCTACTTTAAAGCAGTAAAATTAGTCATAACAACATGAAACGCAAAAATTTACATATTTAGGCACGATATTAATAAGCATTCACAACTTCAATACTTCTTAAACTGTTGTTATTTAACAACCTTTTTTGTAATGTTCACTTGAATGTCAGATTTAATTCGCAGTAATTTATCGAATTCCAAGGCACTTTTTGGCCTTCTAACCATTGTTGTTTTTTCTCTTGCAGAAATATCATTCTAGAAATTAATATTCAAAATTCTAAAATGAAATTTATCAAAAGCTTACTTTGTTACTTAATTTTCAACAAAGAAGAGAGGTATGAATTCCCCTGTAGTCTGCATAAAGTTGCTGCTAAGTGTTAAATTTGAAAACATTAGCTCTCATTATTATACAAAATCAAAGCAGAATTATGCAGCCTATCTCAACGAATTCATAAAAATAAACGATATTTAATAAGATTTCAATGGTGAATTTCATTTGTTTGTAAAATATATAATTTTCTGGGCATAAACAACAGAATTCAGAAAGGTTTTTATCGCTTTTCGTTTATAATTTGTCATAAAATTGAATAATGACTAAGAATTTGCGTTGGCAGGCTTTTTCGATGATTACTACTCAAAATTTCAGCTTTAATGTTCAGTAGCGTAATTTTATAAGAAATAGATAAAAGTGCACTGAGCAAATAAAACTGAAACCAGCAATATTTCAGTAAAAGTAAGTTAACTTGAGAAAAACCAAAATTTCAATCCCTAAACTCACTTTTTTATTCTCCACGTAGTATTTTCCGTAATCAGTTTTTTGTAGCACAGTACCAAAGTTATTCTGATTGAAATAATTATCAAAGATGCCATTCTTTTTTTCCTCAGCAATCAAAAATTCTTCGGTTCCACTAAAAAATTACATTATATCCATAGTCAAATGCATCATTAATTTATAAATGCATTAAAAATGGAGCTATTTGCCTCTCTTTCCTAATCTACAAATAAGAAAATTATTGTGATTATTGATCTCAAACTTTGCAAAAATTTTAAACAGTAGTTTGAAAGCTGACGGAAATGACATTATCAGAAAGTTACTAATATTAAAAATTCTCATCTGATTAATGGAGAATTAATGAGTATTACAATAGACCTTTCCAGCATTGCAACTGACTAAAAACAAGCGAAATGCCTATTGTTGCCATGAAATTCAAGATTATTATATCTAACAAGAATTTGTCATTCACTCGTATCACTGATATAAATTTTAAACTGCAATAATTTACTAAGCTACAGAATTATTTTTCAATCTCCAAAAATCATTCATAAAACTGAAAAATTTGAAGCTCCTTGGTAAAAATAACTAATCCTTCAAAAAATTAATTATGTGCCGTTTTAAGTAGATCTTATTTTCTTGATTAATAAATTTAACTCTTTGTATTTCGAAAATTGTGCTTCAGTTTTGAACTAGAATGCTTATTTATAATTGAAAAGCAGAAACCAAATTCTTTATACCTATAATGCACATTTCTATTAATATAAGCTCTCTTACCTTTCATCGAAATTGTTCTCAAGAATTAATACTTGATCGGTAAGCTCATTAGACATTTTCACTTGCTCCTTTCCAAAGTTTTCCTTAAAGAATGCATCCGATTAATGAAGATAAGAAGCTATATCAAACAAATTCAAATGCTGATAATTACTTAAATAATGTGCAGTAACTTCTGAAATAAGACTCAAATACATAAATAACTAACCTCAGCATAGGTGAGTTGCTGAATTTCTTCATACATTCCATCGTTTATAGATTCTGAAGGTGAAATGATCGGTGGAGACGGTGGTGGTATTGATGGTACACTTAAATGCACACAATTATTACGCTAGGTAAAGTCTGAAGTCTATTTTTAAAACAATATTTTTAAAAAGTTTTGCCTAAGATGAGTTTCAAACTTGAGAAACTTTTTTTTTCACTTTCAATATTAAAAAATATGTAAATTTTCTTGCTGTCTATAAAAATGCATATTAGTGGATGCATTTTTAGTTGGGAAAATCAAAGTAATCAAAAATAAAGGAAGTATGAACAAAAAGTTATCAAATTAAATACTACTAAGGTAAAAAATAGTACATTATGTACCTTGGTATATGACCTTCCTTCAAACACTTGCGTTCAAATCTGTGGAATTTTGTTGATATTGTTTCTGGAAAATTTACTACCTCTTGAGTAAAATTATTGTAAGTCTCGATAGAATGACTTTCTTGGCAGACTTGTTCTTCTCCTTCAGTGCTATCACTATTACCGTAGTCTTTGGGAGACTGACGCGAATGCGTAGGCGGTGGAGGTGGTTTTACCTTAGGTTTTTTAATTTCTCCATTTAGGAAACTAGCACGTCTACTATTCACTACAGATTTGCTTTGAACATCTGTCGGTTGATCAGTCCTTGCTTCAGGACGTTGGTCCAGTAATATGCTAGTTTCCAGAGTGCTGGCATCGGCATCTGTTGAAGTAGATGTTTCCTTACTGACAGAATCATTATCAACTGGCGAACTGGAAGATGAAATGAGCGAAAATTCGGATACTTTGGCATCAACAACAGCCTGTTTACTTTTTGCTAGCGATAAAGAAGATGCCAAAGTATTTCCAGAAACGATTTTATTTCTAAGAGTGGCTGGTTTGACCGGAGGTGGTGGTTTACAAAGACTTCGTGCTCGATCTATCGGAATGTATGAAGTAGAACTGCCAGCATACATCGACCGTATAAGCATGGCACTATCACAACCAATGTCATTATCAGCATTCACATTTTCAAATCCCTCGGTAATCAGTTGCCTCATCGCGGCATCTTGTTCGCTGTTCGTCATCATTGACTTTCTAAATGCATCGTATCTGAAATGAATAAATTATATGCATTAAATTAGTAATCGGTCAGTAAAATTATATATATGATTCTGACGCTGAATCGTATTACTGCACTCTAGTTGTACGCGCGCGCTCAGATTTGTTGTGCTGATCGTTTTTACTTCTTCCTCGTGAAATCCATAACGATTATCAAATGAGATGCTTTTCAAGCATGCCGAAAATAGCTTTTATAAACCAGTTACATTCTTTGTATTTAAACACAACTATATTAATCATATCAATTATGAAGGGAATAAATGATCCGATTTCTGTCTCACTTTTTCCTATAGTTTAAGCGATTCTCATGAAGTATTCACGTCTTAATTACAGTTGTCACATTAAATACATTCAAAAATGAATGGTATAGCTCTGAGATCCATAAAATCATTATGCTCATCAAGATGTGAGATTTCTAAGCTCATTCTAATAACTTCATCTGAAATCTTCAACGATCTTCGTCGACCCTTTGAACTTGTGAATTGAATAAGAAAAAAAAACTTGCAGTAATAGAAAATAAAATTACTTTGCAAAAATGTTGCAGAAACGATTTTTTCTGAAAATTTAAGTTTATTATTCATGCTGAATGCCTGTTGGCTTATCATCTGATTTCAAAGTGGTAATATAAATTGTGACTAAGCTTCCAAAATATAAATCGTTTGCTTAGAAATGGAAATTCATGATTAATTTTACCGCAAAAATCTGTGTAAAAACACAAATTTGAAATCAATTATTTCAATCAGAAAACATAAAAGAACGCATTGAAACCAGATAACTGGAAAAGTTTAAGATAAAGAACAAAATTTAAATCCATTATTCTAAGTAAGCCTTGATAATAAGAATCATAAAAGTAGTTGTATGAGACTGCAGTAATTCAATATTAAGATAATTATATTATGACGTCATCAATTTGTAATATCAGGCCATATTGCCAAAATTTTTGGAAGAAAAACTTAATGACAGACAACATCAGTAATTTCAATTTTCGATAACAATTATTTTACAACTCGTAAAAATTACAGGTTTTTGGTTTAGAGGTATTAAAGGCTGAAAATATTGGTAAGATCTCTAAAATAATGCACAACAAAAAATATTTGGCAGATAAAGGTTCCAAGTAATAACATGAAAAGATATCTGGTACTAATGAACCAGCTAGCAGCAGATAGCTGATATAAGTAGTGTCAGTTATTACTGCGATCGTGTGATAATCGATTCTGGTCAAATTTTTAAGGAAAAAACACTGTTTTGACAACCATTATTGATTCTGAAGTGAAAAAGACATTTCTTCATAAATCAAAAAATGGAAATTTATTCACAATTGAAGGTGCAAAAATTATGCGTTTTTCATCAAGTAATAAGCATTAATATATAAAGGAATGCTGAAAGTTCTTCAAAATTATACCCAAAATAAAAACGAATATTGGAATGAAATCAAGAAAGACTTTAATACGAAAATTTAATAATATAAGAGCTGAAACAGAAATAAATTACAAAAAGAATGAAGGACAAAATTGCTTCAATCTTTTATTGTATAATATGATAATATCTAAAATAAAATACTTCATGAAATTTCAAGTGTGAAATATTTGATATAGCAATCACTATTTACTCGTTGCACAATTTCTATAAAAAAACCTGATGAACAAAATAATTAGTTCTGAACAAATGGAAAACATTTTCTCTTTTTGAACATAAATAAAATAAATATAATTCCAATAATAAATATAATTTTGCATAAGTAAATTACTTGAAATTTTCCATGCAAATTGAGCAGAAAAAGAAAAAAAGACTCCTTCACATTTTTTTTACAGAAGGAAAATTCTCGTTGAGCACACAAAATTGATGATTAAAAAAATTTGCCCAGCAGTTTTGTCATTCTTTACATCGAAGATCAAAACATTAATGTGACTTAGGGCAGACGACGTTTTGGAACAATTGAAAGCAAGATTAAACCAACCCCAGAAGGTCATTCTTTCAACTTTACTACGCCAAATCTAAATGGCCTCTTGTAGGCACAATTTGACATTTATAAATAGAAACACGATCACACACATTTAATTTTTATTTACATTTAAAAGCATGCAACACTATTTGGCTCTTAACAAATTTAATGACTACTAAATTCATGCTAACTAAACTCTACGCTACTTCTTTCTGTTACTTAACTATTACGACAAAGTATTTGTTTCCTCTAAGATATATAATAAAAGTAATATTAATTAATTTTGTCAAGATATTTGTGTCTTTACTGCTAATTTCTTTTCAGTAACGGTATTTTAAAAAGATTAATCGTTGAAGTAATTTATGCAAGTCAATTGGGCCTCAACAATTCCCAGCTTTTTCATAGAAAATACAATTTCTGACACAGAAATGATGCCATGATGTCATTCTATTTCGGAGAAAACGTAAGGAAAAATTTTTACTAAGCAAAATTTAAAAATTTGATTATTTTTTGAACAAAAATAAACAGCATGCAGCATTATTTAAATTATATTAATTTAAATAATACAACAACCATATATTGAAAAAATGTATCTTGTCCGATGCAAATTTTTCGTGCTGAAATTGAAGTTTGAATGTGTATTTCTTAATTTTGCTTTCATTTCGCCTCAGGCTAATTTTATATTTTTTAAATTTCAAAAAATGAAGCTCATTTGAGGAAAATAGAAGGACACAATTTTTGATTTATTAGAACTTTATGATACAAGGACTTTATAAACATTTTAAACAAATTACATGAGGTTTCAGAAGTAGAACGATTGTTTTTACAGCTTTTAGTGCTTTAAATTAATTTCAATCTCAGTTATCAATTTATCAGAAAAATTTCTATTTAATCTAGGAAATGAGACTAAAATATTACTGTCATTTTCATTGCCTATTTCAGATACTGCAATCTAACTATACAAGTCAAGTTATTTTTCTGAGACTCAAATTCATTTCTTTTTTAAGATGATTTCACAAACGCAAAAAATTTTCAAATTAAAGAAATTCAAAATAGTGGTTGTTTGATTATGATCCAATTAATATGAAGGTTCTACATATTTTCAAAGGTAAATATGGAAGAAGATCACGAATAACAATGTTTCTAATTGATAAAAATTGAGTTTCTTGAAATTATACACAATAATTTAACTGGTTGATTTGGCAAATTCGCATGAAAAATTGGATAGTCCTAAAAGGTAAACCACTTAAAACTACCTGTAATTCGGTCACTTTACGGTACTAACATTTCGTGAGCAATCGAGAGGTAAGTATGGACGACCTATAAATACTGTTTCCCATTTCACGTTAATTGAACGACACGTTTTGGCAATTAATTTCATTTTTCATCAATACTACATCACAAAAGTAAATAGCCTTCGTTACTGACTGCTCTCACAAACATAAGATTGAGACATTATGCGATTTCTGCCTTTGCTTAGATGTCAAATAGCAGTTAATAATGAGCTGTAATAAATTTATACCGATTTACAGCTTCTAATGCCACTTTTTAAAAAAAAGTTCTGTAAACGACTAGAAAATGAGATCACAAAAACATGAATTTAATGTTTGTAAAATTTTCCTCTTAAAAGAAAATGTAGAAAAGAGAGAATCTAATCTCGAAACATCACAATAATAATTGTAGAATTATATTCAATTAAGTTGTTGTGATGTCTTTTTAGTTAAATGGTCAAAAGTATTATCAGCTATGCTTTAAAATTGAATGCAGTAAAGGTGTGCTTTTTGAATAATAACTTCAGATCCCCAAAATAATAATAATTCCATATCTTCATCAGGATATATTTTGGAATAATAATCTTAAATCTTCACAAATTTCTGAATCAGTGCAGAAAAACAAACAAGCAAAACTGTTAAAATTATAAAAAGATTTGATGAAATACTATATCGTAAATAAAATTCAATTGTAATTTTACTGTTCAGATGTCAAACAGTAATATTCCTAAAATATAATTTTCCTGTTATAAAGTAAGGTGTGTAATAAATATACTTTGAATCTGTTCTTCGATATGGCATTATAGATTTAGTCAAAAATTCTCTCAATCTCCACAAAGGCAGAAATCGCATAATGTCTCAATCTTATGTTTGTGAGAGCACGAATAACGGTCACTTTCGGTCACTTCGGAAAGACTGCTTCCAGAAGTTTAAATTTTGCTAAAATTTGAAAATTTTAAACTTAATCAAAATATCACATGAGTTTATAATGATGATCATTGTATTTTATCATTAAGATTTCTGAACATTTTGAGATGTTGTTAAAACTCAGCATAATTTTTTTTACATCCTTAACAGTGTGCTCCAAAATTCTATATAAATCCTTGTGTATAGTTACCTTTATCCAAAAATTTCAGTTCTTAGTTACTTATGAATTCTTTATTACATTTTGTCAAATCTTATACGAATTCAACTATTACATTTATTTATTTATTAGATGCGATAATTACTAGAGTAATATTAAGTTAATTAAATTACAGTACTTACATGAGATTGTTTAGTATAACTACATATCCTTGGTTTTGATCACAAGCACTGCAGAAGTTTTAGAATAAAATTTGTATAGCTAAATTACTGAATTAAAGTAAATAATGCAAATTCTTTTTTTATCATAAAGTGATGATAATTTTAAGAAGGGCAAAATGAATAATTTTAGAAGCAAAAATTATTAACGGCTACTTTTGATTCACTTAAGCATCTACAAATCGCTACGTGGAAAAAACCCTTGCAAAAAATAGCAAATTTTTTGCAAAGGAAAAGTAAAAGGATAAGATGAAAGGTAAATAAATACTATCGACAAACGAAAAAGTTTCTGCAAGAGCTTTAGTTACCTTTTCTCTCATGGCGTAACTAAAGGAAAGAAATATAGTAATAAGCAAACAAACATTGGAATTCATTATACGTTTACAATATAGAAATTTATTCTGAAGAAATGATACAGTAAATTTGTCACAACATATTCTTACCTTAGGAATTTATCAATCATTACTTTCATCACATTCACTACGCAATAATTTTTGCAGTTAAAATATATTTGATGCAAAAACTTATCCATACATAATCCTCAATAGCTTTTCTACTGTACTGATTAAATTAGTGAAAAAACATTTTATAAGTTTAATTATAAATTGAAATTAGCGCCAGTAAAAAACCTATTTTTTGCTCTAAAGAATTAAATTTCTTCAACAGAATTATTGATGCTTTAACTTTTATCCATGATGGCACTCTTAAAACAATGCATTCAACTGAGGATATAGATGAATTTTGGATAACACAATGGCAGTGTACCATGAGTGAAAATGAAGTTCTAATTGTGAAAAGTACCTTTTATGTTTCATATTGCAAATCTTTTATATGTCATATTATATCATTGAATAGAATTATGAGGATCGATAATCATGAAATTTTGAATATATATTATTATTTTGAGAGTTTGCTGAAAATTTTATTATGACTTCTATGTAACTAAAGTGAAGTTTACAAACAATTATTGAAGCAGAATAAACAAATGTCGCGAAATCATTTAAAGCAATCACTAGCTAGTGAGTATTGTCATTACCAATAAGAGTGTTATCGATAATTTTATTATTACAGAATTTAATGTATTATTACTTCTATTATCATTATTTTTATGACATTATTAATTAGGCATTGCTCCCTTTAAAGTAGTAAAATGTTAAATACAATAACTATCAATGGCTCACATTTTTGGACTTCTGATTTTGTTGCACATTACTACTACTCAGAACTCTATAAAATATCAAATAACTTTACATGTAGTGGAAACCGGCTTCAAAATTATAAATAACTTACGCAATAACTCTTCTATTTCAGAGTCACCATCCATTTATATAAAGATAAAATTTAGAACATAGAGATTCACTAAATTGTCAGAAAATGAAAAAATTTTATTTGCAGAAAATATTTCTCTCATCAGAATAGTTTTTATTTAAACGAAAGTAACGAATAAAAATATATCATTGATTAAAGTTGATCAATATCTTCACTAATTTGAAAATGATTGGTTCGAAACTAAAAGCATTTCAATAAAAGCATTTTAGCATTTAGACGATGCTGATGAATCATAATTTTCATAATTTAAAATTTAATTACAATGGTAAGAAAAGAAATCAGTTTCAATACAGCACAAAATTTCTCAATTATAAAAAAATGTAGCAACTATTTATAACCTTAGTAGCTATTTCATACTTTCAGTACTAAATAATAATAAACTTGCTGGTTTTTATACCTAGAAAGCTTAATTAATAGTCAGTCCAAACTTTGAGTATCACCGAGCAACAAGAGTTAATAGAAAATGGCTATTTAAAAAATTTGACAAAAAAAATCATATATTAAAATCAAGTAGGATAGATTTGATCTTGATGTACTTCATGAATTTATAGTCAAATTCAAGTACACCAAACTGGATATGAAGTAGAAGTCTGCCGCACCACATGCTTTTCAGATCGTTACTATGAAACTGTAAAAAATTCTACTGCATTCTTTCAGTACCATTTTTTAGATTAATGAGAAACCTAAAAACGATTAATAATTGGCTTCTTTTTCCGAAAAAACTAATATTTTCTGCTTAAGTTATTGATGATCGTAAATTATTTAGCATTCATACCTTTTTTTTGCAGTACTGTATCAAAGCTTCCAACCTACATATTACAGTGTGTATAATATTGAAGATTTAATTCACTAAAACTTGAAATTTTCACAGAACTTTGATGAGAATTAATCAGTGAAAATATTTTGGACAGAAAGATGGAATTTCAAAGTATAACTTTTTTTTTCTTTTATCGTAGAAAAATTACAATATCAGCACTGTTTCAATAGTTTGCATCACAATACGGAACAAGGTGTAATTTCATTACGATGAGAAACAAAAAGAAAAAGTGATGAATGATTTAAACAGAGAAGTCAAGAGGTCAATTATGATCCCTTTTACATTTTTTGATTCATTAAAAAAAGAACGTGAAATTGAGGAATAGATTGAAAAATAATGAAAAAGTACAAATGATGAGGTCTAATTAGATTGGGATAAAAATTGTGGATAAAATTAAGGTGTGAAAATGGTGTTGACTAAATGATAGCAAAGCACTTTGTAAGTACTTAGTTTGGTTGAAATATATTTAATAAGTAGACTGAAAAAAAAATTAGAATTGTTGCTAATGCAAATAATGAAACTGTATTCAAATCAGAAATCAAAAACTGGAAATGAAATAATTTTAGTACAAAATGACAAAAACAACTGGTAGACCCCTTCAAAAACACGTCTGTCATCTCTCCTTAAGAAAAAAAAGAAAAGACAGTAACCAATAAATGTAGTTTTTTGATATCTCTTCAAGTGTACAACTACAAATGTTAGCTAAAATGTGATGTAAGATGTAAATTCATCATTGCTAAAAGCAAAGAATTCCTCAATCACGAAAAAAATTCTCTATTTTTAATTCCTTAAAATATTATTTAAAATAGTAGTAGAGTGAACAACTAAAAATGTAATCTATATTACGTACAATCTAAAGTTTCATGTAATTTTACTGATTATATGAAAAGATCCAAGCAAACCTGCGCAACTAAGATGAGTTCATACTTATCGATTATTATACAAATAATTGTGAGAAACAGCAAAAAATCTTTCAGCACAATTTTTCGCTCTATAAAATTTATACATTAAAAAGTTCATAAAAACACTGTGCATAAAGAAAACTTATAAAAAAATTTTTTAGAGTATGATATTTGACCTTAATTTTACATCACTTTTACATGTAAACACACACCAAGGAGCGAAAAAATATCTCAATTTAGTATTATATTTATACCTTTCAGCTAAGAAAGAAGGAAAAGTCACACATATTAAATACCTTCAAAAATTTGAATTATAATTATGAGTAAAGTAATAAAGATAAATAAGTAAAAAATGAAGTATGGATTCGAATACACAGAATAAACTGAACTAAACCTGATAGCAGTGAGTATGTCCATCTGATCCGACAAATACTCGCCATGACTACAACTTTTTGACATCAAGCTATTTTTTCGACGAGTAGTACTAACTGCCAATGATTTGCTAGTGGACCGAACGTCTGTATGACTTTTGGACTAAATAATAAAAGCATATAGATAATGTTATTAACAGAATGGTAATATGTAATAAATTTTTGGCGCAAAATTGACTTCATTCAGGTATTCAAGAAGAAAGACTTAGGCGCTAAAAAATAAACGAATTTGCTGAACACTCTTTGGATGAATTTCAAAAAAATGCTAGCTATTTTTATAAAAGATTTAATAACAACCCTGGAATTTGGGCAGAAATTCAGAGAATATATTTGATTTACTCAGAAAATATTTAATTTATTTGTAAATCATTTTCTTTGCAGGACTAGACAATTAAATAATTATGTATTCCCTCCGAAGAAAAGTGATTCCCAAATAGTAAGAATTTCAGCCAAAAACAGAAGCACAGTATTAACTATATGAATCGAATATTCATTGCTTGAAAGTTCGAAATTTCTAGTTTTATTTCAACAGCACGCTACAAAATGACAAAAATATTTACGTTTTATCGTGTACATTGTGTAGGGATGAAAAATATTGAATAATAATTAAAAGGTAAAACTAATCATACTTTAAATAACAATCTGACAATGTCATTTTTCGAAAAATATAACCATATATTATTAATGGCGGCAATAACTTAATTATTATGAATTCATAACTAATTAAGAACCTAATAATATTATTTTTTATAAATTCCTATCGAACATTTTTATCTTTCTAATTTGTTTATTTTTTAAGAAATATACCTGTCTTCCAAGGATAGCTCGCTTTTGATAAGTGCCAACTGATGTTAGTTTTGATGACCGATGACGTAAAATTGGTTTGCACCTAGAACAAAACGTTTACTAGCTTACTATTTATGTGCATATCTAAAATCATAACAACTAAACAAGTAATAATAAAACTAATTCTATTGTAATTTATATACATAACCGATAATTAAACACATATTTACAATTTTTGATAAGAATTTTAACTTTTAATAATTTTACAACAAAGCGAACTTGTGAAGAGAAATTTTCCTTGCACTGTTCAATAATAAATAATTTTGCTTGTATACAAGTAAAATGACAAGTATGTAGAGATCTCGAATGCTGAAGTTTTAAGTAGTAATCACTGTACAACGGCTTCTTTCTCGGGAAAGAAACGTGTTTTTCTAGCTGTAGGAACATGACAACTTATGACTACTTAGAATAGCTTATACTATTGACAATTTATCATAAAGAAAAAATAATGAGTAAAAGTTTTGAAAACAATTTTGTGCATATTTAATTGTGATGGAAGCGTTTTGCGATTTAAAAAAAAGAACGAAATGCATATTTGTTTGATTTATTTTTTAAATTTTTAGAATACAAAAAAATACTACAGCTATAACAAATGACGAAAGACCAAATTAAAAGCAGTAGTCATATTTTAAGTGAAAAAAATGCTTGAAAATCGGTAAGATAACTTCCAAATTGTTTGTACAAAATGTAATAAAATAAACAGACGATTTATTTTCATTAAAAATTTTATCATTTTTGAAAAGGCTAAAATATATTATTTAATAGCTTATCCATTTAAAAATTAACAGAAATTTCCTCAAATGTCAATAAAAAGCATTTTTGAAGATACTTTCCAAATTTCGTTGAAGAATAGACTAGTGTAACATTTTGCTCTTAAAACAATTAGCAAGATTTAAAACATTAATCTTATATGATTGAGAAAAAATCCCTGAAAGATCAGTACAATAATTTCTCGAACAAAAATTTCTTAATGATGTAAATTACTTGTGAACTACAATTGTTTATTCTAAAAATTACAACTTCCATAAAATAATTTATACTACTTTTGAGTATTTTAAAACGTTTTCAGAAGAGGAAAACTGAATGTTTTATTTTATGCTTAGATGTGTTATTTTAATTCAAATTACAAGCTATCCAAGCCATAAAAATTAAGATTCATTATTGAATAAATAAATTTGTTGATACTATTAATGAAAACATATTGCGTTAACCATACTCGTTTTTCGAACACAGAAATAAAAAAGTTCTAACAAATTAAAATGTTAATTTTAGTAATATAATTTGATAGTACTAGTAGACACTATGCTAAAACATCGTGGTACATAAAAGCGAATTTTATTTGAAAACATGTCCCATCATACGCTTAAATTATCTTTTCAACGTAGACGCGATACATGTACAATATTCATGCAATAAAAAAAACCTGTGCCGTATTGTTGGTGATGAGTTAATTTTTGCGGAGTGAACACTTCCTGAACTCTCGAATTTCTCGAGTAACTTTTTGACTCGACCTTTTCCATATAGCAAACTGCCATCAACAGTACTTTTTTCTTCCATCTTTACTTAATCAAGCAGTGAGAATTTACAAATTTAACGACCAAATATATGTTCCACACAACAATTGACTTTGAAGATCTTTATCGTTCATCTTTTACACCATTAAAGAAATTTTGCAAAATATTTACTGCACGACAAAACTCAAAACCTAAAAAAATTCTTTAACTTTGATAATAACAAAAATGTGTTGCGTGATATAGAAATATGGATACGACGAAATCCTGCATTAAATTTTTTAGATTTTAAACACTTCCTAAGGCTAAAGTATTAAAATACAAAGTGTATAAGTCAAAACAAATAAAACGTGATCAATCTATACGTAAAAGCATAACAAAAACTTATTGGTTTGCTTGTTTTCTTTTTTTCATTAAACGGTGTCATGTCATGATATCTCCCAAATTATGCGTAATCTCAGCATAAATAAACTTAAAGAATCCTTCTAACATTATGCAAACTTTCTAGCATGTATTAAAACAAATTACTCTTGAATACAGAATCCAAGCTTTCATGTCATTAATGGCGTCAAGATGGTTTCTGCGAGTAAAGTGGGAAATATTACATATTCATTTGACTTTAATAATCAAATTGATTTTCTTGCCCTAATTCACAGATCAAACATTTTAAATTAATAGCCACAGACATTATGTATTCTTTTTTTCAGCGCAGATTTGACAATCTCTCATTATTTGTGCTTATCCAAGCAGGAAATCAGTTCTTCCTATTATAACAAAAAGTTGGTCAAAAAATATTTGAAATCTTTGAATTTGAACCTTGAGTACAGATTTACTTTATTAATAATAGTGATTATGTGAATCATCCCGCAAAAGCTTATATAATCACTAGATATTGATCAGAGGATAGCAAAAACCAGAAAAGTCGATTATTCAGAAGACTTATTATTAGGGAAAAGCATATAAATTATGATAGAGAAAATGGTTTTCCATTTCAATACAAAAAGTGGATATGAGACTTAATGAAATTGTACGAAAACGTGCTCCCTCTCATTAGACCCCAAGCAAAGCTTTCAATAATAAAATACAGCAAAATTTTGAACAACAGTTTCATTAAGTATAAAAATGATTAACAAAAGGAAATAAGTGGTGAGAGAGTGAGTACGTTCAAGGCCTTATAGTGATTGTGCTTCAGGCCCATACTTCTTGTTGCATGGGATTATCCATTTAAGCGCAACTAATAAATAATTTTTGTTGGATGAGTGAAATCAATTCGAAAACGATTGAGGTCAGTAGTAGTAAAGTGGTCGAAAGAGAGCAACTCCTAAATTTCTGATTTATTTTATGATAAAGTAATTAAAATGCCTACTAATGCTCTTTATTTGAAGTTCCACAGCTTTGAATATGCAATTTTAAATGAAAATACAATGATGAATTATTTGAAAATTCACTTCCGAATTCATTTTATTAAGCTTTTTGATAACTAATATATAATCAAAATTATGCTTTCGAAACTGCAATACATATTGATCTCATTTTCTTCATGTTTATGGTCACTATTTTCTTTTATAGCGATAATTAAATAAAGTAATTTTGATCAAGAGTTTGACATCACCATAAACAGTTTCAGAATGTTTGAATCCAAAATTTCACGCTAAGCACTGAAAAGTGAAGCAGAAACACAATTACCAACAAAAAGTGCAATAACATAATTTGAATTATTATTTATTTAAATTATTTATAAGGACATAGTTTTTAAAGGAAAGTAATAAAAATGCTTTTGTTGTTAATAATTTTCTTAAAGCAGAAAGGGCTTGCAAAGATTAGCAGCTGAACAAAATGAATCTGTTTTAGATGTTGCTAGTATTCGTAATAGTTCAAAAGATGGTTACATTCTTGTGACGAATTTTTTCCCAAATTTTTGTAGCAAGAGTTGAATTTTGTGTCAACAGCTCAATCATCAATTTTATTCAATAATTGACAAGTAGAATGTAAGAGATAAATGCAGAAAATTAGTAACAATTATAACTATTTGTACAAATGAAATTTATTCAAGGTACACTTATTTTTTCACTTATCTTTGCTTAGAATTAAAAAAAATTTCATGATCAATTTTTTACTCAGTTTTGCTCGTTGAGTCTTCTGAAATTCAGCTAATAAAACCTTTGATGGAAGCATTTGTATCTTTTATTAAATTACAGTGAATTAAAATTTGAAAAATAGTACTTCGTTTCCAATAGTTTCATGCAGAGTGTGATGAAAAAACATTGCTGCATTTATTTGTCTTCGAAGAAAAGTTCTTTGAAAATAAAAATAATAGCAAAGATATTGCTCTAATCAAGAAATTATTAAATAATTGATGGTGTGATCATCTTTCTCTTTTCTTCCTACTTTCTTGTTACTTGTTCAGTGGTTCACATGAAATTTTTTATCTTCGCAAATAATAGCAAAGATATTGAGACAACTAATCAAAGATATATACTTGCTAAAATGATGCCAATTTCTATTATAAATATCTATTCAGCCCAATTTTTTAATCATTGAACAAAAGCTTGTGTAATTATAATGAAGCTATCAAAAATGATATCTAGAAATCAGCAAGTTAATTAATGTGGAACAAAATATTGTCGCAATGATGTATCAATTCTAGACCTGGACAATGCACCTGGCATGTGAGATGGCTGACTCTGTGTCAGACGCTGTAATAGAATGTGAGAATTGTACCTTACATCTAAATTTTTGCGCAATTTAAAATTATTAAATTGAAATTAAAAAAAGATTAAATGGCAAAATTGATAAAAAATATTCATATTGATAAGGAAATGAAAGTTAAAATGAGAATATATGCTTTTGCAGAAAATGAATAAATCGATAGATCTGTGAACGCTTTATTTGCACAAATGCATTACATTAGAGGATGAGAAAAGTTGATGTTTGAAATGAAAATTTACTGAAAAAAACGAACAACAAACAAATGGAAATAAGTTCGCTGCCAAGTTACAACAATCTTTGTGCTTAAAAAAAGTGGAAGAAGCAGTTGGGGAAGATTGAATGAACGGGAACGACTGAAATATCCCTTAAGCGTGACATGCTAGGCTGAAATAGATAGGAAGATATATATCGACAGGAGCAGCCTAAACCATTCAAGATTGCACTAGAGATAGCTAAGAGCAAAAGAGCCTAGGCTGAAAAAGCCACAACAAGAGCCGAAGCTAAAGCTCTACATGTTGATGATATTGATAAGCTAAATTGACCACCATGCAATAAGCAATAGTTAATGAGTATGTTAGGCTAAATGGTCAAGAATAAGTCGAGATCTAGTCAAGAAGAATTGAAAATGATTGAAAGAGCCATTCATTTATTGATTGACGTTCATTAATTCAAATTATATTTTCTCTTCAGTTCTTTTTAGCCTCAATTTATTCCATAACTATTTGCCCAACACTTCCATTTCTTCTCTGATCAGTGTTGAAAAAGCCAGATATTTTCTTTATTTAAATTGAATTCTTGCTTTGTTGAATCAATATTAGTTGATTTCATTGATTGAGATAATCAACACTAACCTGTATGTCATCATCTATTAGTCCAAGAATATATCATAACTATTTAAAATCAAAAGAGATCAGAACTAAAATAGACGTTTTGTTCATTTAATAGCATTTCATAAAATGAATTAAGATAATAATGACTATTGCATTTCTTCTTTGCAAATATTTTTACTAAAAAAATTTATATCAATTATCAGCGAGAGTCTTTAATATTATCAGCGGACAATATATCGTTGAATTCAAAAATAAATCTGTACCGAATAAAATATGCATTTGAAGAACAATTACTTTTTAACTTTTTTTTTGTTTAATACCTTCATTTAAGGCCAATGAATGAATTAGGCCTTGAGAGATAATGATGAGGTGGTGATTCATAGCAAAAGCAGGTCTTCTGCTACTGCTGCTGACTGCATAGAGTTAATATGTAAAAGGATGTAATAAGTGGTCAGCAATGAGTGCTCATGGCGTAGCAGCTATTTTTGTTAGCTTTAAAGAATTAAAAAGATCGAAATATATTATACAAGGGAAAAAAGCAAAGTTGGCCATGCAGCACTTAAAGCCAAATAAGCATCCGAATAGATCGTTCATATCCATTCAAGATGACTTTGTCTAGGAGCAAATTGTGAAAAACAATTCTATTACTGCATGATAGGATACATACTTGCCTACTTGCCTACTTGCCTAGCTCTTTAATTAAGCTTAAAGCTACTAACTGAGATAAAGAGCGTTTTCTAAATGCAATGTAATTATTTGCCTGACCACAGTCTATATTTGATATATTCTAAGGCTTTCGATCAAACACAACATTCTGTTTATGATTATTTTATTAGCAGTATCACATACTGATATTAGTATTTTTCTTGCATTATTGATAGTACTATTTGTGTTATTACTGTTAATTGTTATCACTGCATGAATACTTGCTAGAAATTTCGAATTTATACTATTTATTGTATCAATTTACTGCGAATGAAATGAAATGATGAAAACAGTGAAAAATGAGCCAATTCATATTTGCCTTGTCACGAATATATGATCAAATTTTAATTTCACAAACATAACATGTATTGTCTTACAACTAAATATTTTGACTTACAAAAAACAAAAGCAAACTTTACGTCAAAATTTGATAAGGAAAGAATTAGAATAGTCAGTAACAGAATGGAATTACTACCTGACATAGAAATTATTTCATATTAATCAATTTTTCTGGTCAATAAAAACTGCTAGAAACGATGCATGAATAAAAAAGAGCAGACATTGAAATGCAAGGATCTTGTACTCCTAATACTCGTAATCATGAAGCTTGCTTCTAATTGACAAATTTTATGAATCACTCTTAAGATATCTAATGTCAACTAAGTAAATATTTGTAAGGAAGACATCAAACTGTTCTCTACCAATAAAATTTGTCGAAAATGCTTGATTTCATATGAACAGAAAATCCTAAATGGAAATAAAAAAATTGAAAGGAATTGAGCAGCAATGGAAACAGGTTTATGAACGCAAAGCAAACAATTACAAGTTTATATTTGGTGAAATGTGCAGTGTATTTACAATGGAATCATTTAGGCAACAAAAAAGCAATGACCCCTAACACAATAAAATGATAGAATTAGCAAGTATTTAGACGACATAATTATGTAAATAATATGCTAAGTGAGAAAAGTTTAACTTAAGCTTTAGTTCACATCAAAAGTTTAATTACTTTGACCACTCTCAAATTTTTTTGAAACAAATTACTTCAACTACATGAATAAAAGCAATGATTGAAAATGCTTTGTGAAAGAATATCGCTTACCACTATCTCAATGCTGGATAGTTTTGCTGTAGGAAATCAAAAATAAGACTACGTAAGATTAATTTCATTTATCCATAAATGCTAAACAACAATTGTCATTTCTTTTACTTTTTTTCAACTAAAATCTTAAGGTATGTAATTATATAGCACGCATTGCTGAATGACTAATTTTTGCAATCTATTTCATTGCAAGCTCCAGCTTTTTCGACCTCCAAATTTTTCTCTATCTTAAAATTTATAAAATGTATCAAAAATTTGAAAGGCGAGCTGAAATTTTGCCCACTCAAACGTAGCAATGAATAAAATAGCAAAAATATCGACATAAATATATTCATTAATTACTATCTTTTACTAATAATACTCAAATAGCATCGTTGCCGTTATTATTTTCATTTATCTATTAGTTTTCGTAAATATAAATTGTTATTGCAGTTCATTTTATACTCAATTATTTGTGCAAAAGACAAACTGTGCCAGGTAAATTTTATTCCAGTTAAAGCGTAACTGTTGTCATAATTTATAACTCTTGTATTTCTTTTTGGTTCATCAGTAGTAAAACACTAAACCATATAACACAATCTAATTTTTTTATTTCAGTAAATCATATCTCATAAATTTTCGAATAATTCTTGTTCATGCATCAAACGACTTAAGAATACAAATAATTAAAGAAATTGAAGTATGAGATATTTCTGAAACATCATAAAATGATAAAATACGTGCTTGGAATTAATGAATTTTCTTTTTAAAGTAAGCAAAACTGTTTCAAATCCACTTAATGTTAAGTCCCTGATAGTTTTCCAATTAAATTCTTAATTATTTTAATGACCACAAACTTAGAAATAAACATGATAGTACTTTGTAACCTTAAATGAATAACAGATTACTTGCACTGAAGGCATATAAAAAAACTTTCAAACCACTTTTGCGCAGAGCGTTATTCAAAAAAATTATATGGCAAACTATGCAAGCAACCTTACTTTGGGCTATTACTTTATTGATCTCTCGCTAAAAGAGTAGTATTCAATGAATCCTTTCTAATTCTTCCCACTTGCCAAAGTTATTTTCTCCAACTTATTTTTAGGTTACACTCAGAATCAGTAATCTTACTTGTTATGTTTATTGTATTATATTAGCTGTTTCAAGTATCAACCTGAAACAGAATGATGAGTAAATTACGAATCGTTTTGTTCCATGTTGATGCTGTTGCCTACTAGTAAAGTGAATCACAAAAAATACTCTTTAAGTCAGTGCAAAATAAAATAGCATTGAGTCTTTTTATTTAGATTTATTTTTGCATCTATTTATAAATTCGCATTTTGGAAGTAATGCAAAATTTGCATAAAGACGCTTTACTAATAATTGGTTATGCGATTTACTATGTCATTACTTCATCAATACCTGCGGTAATTTCTTCTAAAATATCCGAAGTTGCATCGTATAGTACGATATATCAAATTCCAGCGTAATTGTACTTGCATGATTCACTTCACTTTTGCATTTTCACATTGGTATATTTAAAGCTGCTAATATAATAATAATATGAAGATACGATGGGCCATCTATGTAAAAACAAACTCATGTTTATGCATAGCAATCAATTTTGTACCCTTCAAAAGATATATGTTAGGGAAGTAGGAGAAAAGTAATAAATAAATAAATAAACAAGTAAGAAAATAACTAGACATATACATTTATTTATTTATTTAATTATTCTTAAATTGATTTATAGATACTTCGGTACTTTTTTGTCTATTGATTCGAACACATTATACGTATATTTCTTGAAATGGTTAAAATTCATTTCCTACTGCATTCTTCCACATGTTATGATTCCAGAAAATTACACATTTTTAGCACCAATTTTATTTCGTTATTAACTCTCAAACTATTTTCATTCTTTCAAAGCTTGATTATTTGCAAGGAATACAAATCACTTGATAAAATTGTCATTTTTTGGGATTACATAACAAAGAACAAAGACTATGCACTAATAAAAATAATCTTAATATATGATAGAGGAGGAATATTAGTAATAAATAACAAACATTTTCATTGGCAAATGAATGAAGCATTTCATTGATAAGTAGTAAGTTTTACTTAATTTCATTAATTATTATAAGAATAGATTTGGAACGTTAAAAAATGCAGTCTTTGAGAGAAATAATAATAATAGTAATGGAAGCTCCTTGTAGTCCGAGAAGCAAATTATACTGTCAATGAGTACAAATTCAAGCAAGCGGAAGAATCATCGAATTTATTCATTGTCGATTGACAACTCCGCACACTTCAATTTCAGGTTTGTTGTGACTGCTTTCGATCCGGTGAATCTCAGTGTATTTTGACAAGAGCTATCTAACCTTTGAAATACCAATCGAAAAGCCGTAATACTGGCTAACTGATAACAGCATAAGTAATGATAACTAACTGATTACTGACGTGACATAAATTTCTTTTTAGAAATGTACTAAAATTGTTTTGATTTTAATATTCTTTTAATACAATGTTGTTGTAGTTTTTCCAAATGTGCAAAGCTTTTCACAATAGCATAAACAGCTTAAATGCAATGACTACTCAATTATATATGTTCTTTGCATTGATAGTTTCTGCAACAGTTTGATTTGTATATAATAATAAAATAGTGCTGTAGTCATTTTTTACTATAATTAGTTCTTTTTGCAGAACAAGATATGAATATAGAGGAACTCAGTTAGAACATCTGAGTGAACTTGATATTGGAACACCACTGATTCGTCAGCGAAAAACAGGAATTATCTGTACTATCGGTAAAGATTAATTATCGAAAGGGTCTAAAGCTTGAAAATTGATTTTTATTTTCAAATTGAGTTTAGACGAAATTCAATTTTAAATATTTTTCGAGATAGTTTTGCCGTTTTTATAGGTCCGGCATGCTGTGAGATACAAACATTAACAAATATGATTGAAAAAGGAATGACAGTTACGAGATTGAACTTCAGCCATGGAACCCATAAAGTAATTCAATAATTGCACTATTCTTAATTCGAACTGCTGTATCATAAATAAGCTGTTAGTCATCTAAGCTAAAGTTTTATGATAAAAGATCAACCGAATAACTACTACATTCATATGAGGATATTTATAATTCAGTATTATTTTATTATTTTTAGTATCACGCTCAACTGATTGAAAATATTCGTAAGGCATGTTCGAGTTTGAATGTAAATTCTATTGCAATCGCTTTAGATACGAAAGGTCCAGAAATCCGAACAGGCATATTGATTGATGTAAGTTGGTGATATTCTTTCATATATTTCGATCTATTCAAACTTTTTGTCTTGAAGTATCTTTTAAAAATAATAAATTATAGATAAAGTTAAAGTGATAGTAAAATTATTTTTTTGCTCCAGCAATATAAGTGAGTTTTATGTATTTAGAACAATAAAGACGAAATTGCAATTGTGAAAGACTCATTCGTAAAGTTAACAACGGATACCAAGTACAAAGATCGCTGTGATTCGCATTTGATTTTTGTCGACTATCCAAATATCACCAAAGTCGTGCAAGAAAATTCACGAATTTTTATCAATGATGGATTGATCTCTTTAGTTGTTAAAGAGATTTGTAAATATTTTTACTTTTTTATATTTTTCAGACTTCTATTAAAAAGTTATCAATCAAGGAGCACTTTTTGTTGTGTGAATAATCGTATCATATAGTTATTAATAATTTTATTTAGCAATTTTAAAATAACGAAAACTTCTTAAAAACTTGTGTTTCCAGATGAAAGTTCCATAAACTGCATTGTTGAAATTGGTGGGATGCTAGGAAATCAGAAGGGTGTAAATATACCTGGTGCGACGCTCGATCTGCCTTATGTCACTGATAAAGACATTGAAGATCTAAAGTTTGGAGTCGAACAGGTATTAAATATGCAAGCGTATAAGTGAAGAAAGTGTAAATTTTATTTTGTCTTTTAACGAATTCAAGAGATGATTAAAATATGCTAAATAACTATGAAATGGAGTGCAGTTGAAGCTTGGAGCATTTTTTGTTTAACGCTTACTTCAAAAGGAAAGTTCAATTTGCATAACTTGCAGTAACGTCAAATATTACTTTGTTTTTAGAATGTTGATTTCATTTTTGCATCTTTTACACGTGCAGCTAGAGGTATCGAAATTATTCGAGATGTACTGGGTGAAAAGGGCAAGCATATCAAAATTATTGCTAAGATCGAAAATGAAGAAGGAATTCGAAGGCTAGTACTAACTACTAATATTTATAATGAATTTGAAATTCCAGTTCTAGCAGCAGCATATTACATGCAAAATTTTTAAGAGAAAATTGAAAAGTTTTGACGAGAAAAAATTTTTTTTCCAATGAATAAAACTGCGCAATTTTATGAAAAATTAAAATGAGCATAATTATTTAGAAAGAAAGAGATTAAAAAGAATTTACTTTCAATTTACAATTATTAAGAGAAATATTTTTTGAATGCAAATATTAATCGAACGTGTTACTTGAATACATTGATAATTTTTAATTTATACCAAACATGAATTTTTTATGGCAGAAAGTTGTTTAATAGACAGGAAGATTCCCAAAGTAATTAGTTGGTCAACATACTGTACAAAAGTGTGCAGAAAAAGTTAAAGGTTTGATTGAGTTGCTGCGATTTATTAATTTTTCGAAGTAAAGCAACATTTTATTTGTAGTCGTAGTTCTCCCGTATTAATTAATATGGTGAGACATTAAGTATAACTAGTTGTGATAAATGTTGATCATCATTTATATGAAGTGAAACATGTAGAAAAGATTAAACTTTCATTTATATATGAGCTACTGAACAAAAGTAACAAATAAATCGCTTATTCATTTCAGATATTCAAATTAAGTAATATATAATACAAATGTTGAACATCATTGCAATCTGTGTTTAATTTTAGATATTGACAGAAGCAAGAATGATAAGATGACAAAAAATTTCAGAGCCGATGAAATAATTGATGCAGCAGATGGAATAATGGTGGCACGTGGTGATCTTGGCATTGAAATATCTGCTTCTAAAGTTTTTCTCGTCCAAAAAATGCTCATTGCCAAATGTAATCGAGCAGGAAAACCAGTCATTTGTGCAACACAAATGCTTGAGTCAATGGTGGGCAAACCGAGACCAACCAGAGCTGAAAGTAAATTGACTTTAGCGAGTTTTGTTAATTGTAATCAAAGATTTTTAGGAGAAAGTCAGGCAAAAGTATTCTTAAAATAAATTTTTGTAAGAGAAAGTTTTTATTGCAGTACATCAAATATTAAAGATCAATACGAATCGATAAAAATAAAGCTTATTCGGAGAAATCATTCTGCAGTGAATTTATTATACAGGTAGTGATGTTGCCAATGCTGTATTGGATGGAGTTGACTGTGTTATGTTAAGTAGCGAAACAGCAAAAGGCAATTACCCGCTAGAATCGTTGATGACAATGCATGAAGTACATTCTTAAAAAATCAACTATAAACATATATAATTTAATGCAAATATTGATTGTGGTATAAAAATTAAGCATCATTTTTTGACAGATTTGCAAAGAAGCTGAAACAGCATTTTATTATACGAAATATTTCGAAGAGTTATTGCGATTAGTTCCGAAACCAACAGATGACGCAACAACGATCGCAATTGCAGCTACCTCTGCTGTTGAATCGTGTCGTGCTACAGCGATCATTTGTGTCACTGTTACTGGAAGGTCATACATTTCATCCGATCATTTTTCATGATAAAACTTTAAATGAGCAATGTACTAAGTTAGTATTCGATTGTGATTTTCAAAACGATTATTAATATTGAGATATTACATAACAGAACAGCTGAACTGCTATCTCAGTGGCGACCACCAGTACCAATTATTGCGGTTTGCGAAAATTCCACTGTAGTACGACAACTTCACTTGTGGCGAGGAGTTTTCCCTTTACATTTTGAAGGTTGGCAAATATTGTTTTCAAAATACTGCATTAGTTGCGCAAAATAATAAATAAGCTCAATATTGTGAAGAATGTGCTTGGTTTTGATAACTGGTTTTGAATAATTTAACAATGTTCAAGTATTAAATGCATTCAGAGCTGTTTGCAAATTTCACTTCAATTTCTAAACATTAAAACTAATTAATTGCGAAAAAATTCTGTTAAAATCTTAAAATTTAAGTTGAAACATTTAACAATATATTCTTTTGTACCTGTTGTATCTTCAATATTTGCAGAGAGTGATTCTAAAAATGGTAATACCGATGGAAGAATGAAATTACTGATAAATTATGCTTTGACGATAGGCCTAGAATATGGTACATTCAAGAAAAATGAATTGGTTGTGGTTGTTACAGGAGCCACTGAAAAAGGTTTGCAGTTATGTTGTGAGTATTTTGTCTTCTATAAAATCCGTTGATTTTGAGTGCTTTTTTAATCATCTAAATTGAATTTTTGAATTTTAAACAGTTGTTAGTATTTTGTCTCCAACAAATCTAATTTTTCAGAAGGTGTAACAAACAATATAAACATAATCACAGTTCGCTAAGATACTAAAGAATTAACATCAATGCATTATCATGAAAGCCAGAATACTTAGATGCAAATCATTTGCGTTTTTATAGACAGCTAATAATTTTGTATTGTGTATTTTCATTAAGTTCAGTGTATTTCTATAAAGCAGTAAACCTTGATGTATGATTATTTTGATTGTGTATTGCAAAAAGATCTTTTTTAGGTTATAAAAAAACATTTGAGTTATACTGTTTGTGTATCACAACGTGTATTGAAGTAATTTCATAGGTCACTTTTATCTTGACTATTTCTTCAGTGCTTGTAATTTTTGGAATAAAATTTGAAAAATGAGACAATCTGTGTTCAGTTTTACATGAATTAATACAAGCTTATTTATTAACGTTTGCTATAGAGGACGTTTTTCAAAAGCCAAATACTCTTTTGACAAAATTTTTTCAAAAAAATTAAATAGGCATTACTGACAAAGTAAACAGCAATGTCATGAATTGAACTTAAGATCATTTTTTTTTTTTGAAAGCGAGACAAATTATGCAGCGCCATTTCTCGACAGATCAATTTTATTGAAAGAGATAAATTTTAAATAATATTTTGTTGATTTTATAATTAAGAAGATATTTAAGAGATCAAACTCTAGGAAATGCATTTTTCTTCAGTTTTACATGAATTAATAAAAGCTCAACTATGTGATTGACGGACTATGACAATTGAATAGATAGTAAAGTCATCAATATCTCATCTAAATATGTAGAAAAGAAATCGAAGTTGATTTATCATCATAGTCAGTCAATCGCGTAAATACAGTTGAATAGATAATAAAGAATACAGTAATTTACTTTAAATGAGTATGTAGAAGGTTGGTACAGATGAACTGTGCTCATCATTTTGTATTCTTAACCTGTTTTTATTATTTTCTGAAGATGTAGATGTGCCCTTAGTGATGAATTGCTGCTGAATAAACGTTAAATACTAATGGGTCAATAGAGGCGGTCTCATTCATATTTATTTTTATATTTTTAGAGAATCAGATTTGGTCGGAAGTGTGGAATTATATCGCAGTTTTTTATTTTTTTATTTTCAAGTAACTCCAAAATTTTTATTGTAACTTTCAAAAAACATTTTGTATTTCACCGGAAAAATAATAATTAATAAATATAGAATGAAAGTAGTCATTTGCAAGCTTTTGATTCCTTCTTATGAGACCATTTTAAAATACTTTTGATAATTCTTCTCAAAAAAATTAAATCGGTATTACTGACAAAGTTCTTTTCCATATTTGCATACTTCTAATGCATGGATTCTTCGAAATTTGTTTTTTCCCAGTATTTAATTTGCTTGAACGATGAGACATCTACTTTCTTGCATTGAAAAATGCAGAATAATTTAATTAAAAAATCCTCAAATCATTTTACGAAATACTGCTAAATGAGCAAAGTATCTAAAAAATAAGTTTCATGCATTTTAATTACCGAAGAATTTCACAAATGCTAACAATTATTTTTAAACTATTCTTTATCTTTAAGTTTATAATGTCCCTGTTTCCATTTTTTAAATGAGACTAAATATATGAAATTTAATTTAACTATCATCTATGATCACTGCACAACAGAAACAAGTTAGCGGTGAAAACAAACGCACTGCTTCCAACCCACTGTCTTGAATAGATTTCAGTTGTTACTCTCAAATGCACCAGTGTTTTACTTTTATTTTCAGAATTTACGCAAAAATTGCTTCATTATTTGTTTGCCATACTGCATATTCTTATTTTCAGCAGTTATTGATGAAATCGTATTAAGAATGCATGTATTTAACATCAGTAATTTATTGATAACTCTCAAGAATTTATTTTCGTTTTTATAATTCAATGAGCTCCATCATTTTCAACTCAATTTGCGACTGTTCATGCTCTTGCAGTTTTTATTCGAAAGTTAAACTTATTTTCCTCTGCTTTTTACTGCATCCTTCAAAAATATTAAATAAGCACATAAGAAAGAAATATATGCCAACAAATTAGTGCATTTTAGTCTTTTTTTTCCATTCAGTTGTCACCTTAAGTAGTAATTGAAAGTTCACTTTTTCGTTTAATTTTTGATTTTTGTTTCTTATTTCAAAATTTATTGTCGTTTAAACTTTTTCATAATAATATGAAAAACTATTTTGTAATGAAGTCTTCTTGACGAGCTACTCAAAGAAACTAGCATCAAGTGCAATGAATTAATAATTTTGTAAATAAATGCTACCTTGTTTCAGAGCAATCGAATTACTCCTTAGTCATTTTCTTAATTTAATTACTTCTGAACCATATTTTTGATCGAATCCTTGATAATCTGAAGTTTTATATTATTTTTCGATTTGAAACAAGGACTCACCTAAATATTTCAAATCGATAACGTGAAATCAATAAAGCATTTCGGCTTAATATTCTGTCATTCTGATTTCCATATATTTATACCACTTATATTTAATATATATATTATACATAGTTCAATGCCATAATTCTCTATTTGCTTAAAAAAACAGTAGAATTAACTGCTTACAGTATATTTAATAAATCACTCTTAAAGCGTCACTTTAAATATAGTATGTGCAAATTGCAGTAATCCTGTGTTATTAGTGAAAATTAGTTTAAAGATCTTTACAAATAAATGCTTCATAAAAGTTAATATTTTTCTGTGTCTAATTTCAATTTCTTGAGTAGTGATGTAAGCCACTGATTATTTGTTAATTGAAGACATGGATAACAGTAAATTGTGAACTGGTAACGAATGTAAAGAAACTTTATTGAATGACTTCATGGAAAACTCAAATGATGTAAGTAAGGAAGAGGTTATGAATACCTGTCAAATTACTGAGTCGGTGGTCATAATTGATGAACAGAAAATAGGCTACTGCACATATGGTCATGGAAAGTATAGAATGATGTTTATTTGTGGTGGAGTTGGTAAATTTGAATTTTTTCAACAAATTTCTTGATTTCAATAGTAATTCAAAGTTTTGGACATTAAACTCCGTAAATTATTAAAAATATTGCTAGTTCTATCGTAAAAATAAAAAACTGCCTGAAATTAAATCGTTAAAGCTGTGATAAAATAATAATGAAGAACACAAGTGAATGACTAAAATTTTTTGATTTCATTATGATGCCACTAAGATTAAGAATATTTTTAAACATTAAGGTTATTTCTGTCATGATTTCAGGTTGCTATAAGAAGGATTTTCCAGAAAAAGTACTGAAAGCTTTCAGTTCTGATAAATACACAATCGTTTGCATAGATCCACCTGGCTATGGCACCAGTCGTCCACCTGACAGGTTTTTGATGTTATAAAGCAGAATGTGATCTATTTTGTTTTCAGTGCTTCTTAAAATTTATTTTTATTTGGATTTGTTTGTCTGAATTGTTAATTTTTTCAGCTATTAATTTGTTTAATTTACAGCTGAATTGTATGCCACACATCTGATTTTGAAACTACATTTTATCATTTAGGCAGCAAGAAATAAATCGTTGCATGAAAGATGCATCATTTTGTTTGAAACTTATGAAGGTATTATTTTCTTTGTTCTTTGCACCATAAGTATATCTTTAATCATTTATTTAGCTAAACTTGCCTTGAAAAAACTAATCAAACAAAATTTCAATATAAACAGGAAATTCGCTAAGTTTTCTAAAATATTTACTAAAAGAAAAAAAAATTCTCACTTTCCTCATAGCAATCAAGTATTTTTTATCACAAGATAATGAATAATTAAAAATTAAATCACTTACTAATATTGTTAAATAAGGATATCACAGTTTTCTTCTCTTTATCCACACCACATGAATATTTATTATCTCTCATGATTAACTGGCTTTCAGCATTTAAATTTGACACCATTCTCAGTACTTGGATGGAGTGAAGGAGCTCGAACTGCTATCCATGTTGCTGGACAAGGTAAAAATCTTGTAAACAGTATGGTCTTATTAGCTGCGGGCACTCGTATTGACTTACGAGGATGTCGAGTTTTTCGAGGTATAACTCGCTTTAAATGCACTTTATGTGTGGTTTTTGATCCTAAAGCTTATTTATTTAGTCTTCCAATAGCATTCAGCAATATCATCTATTACATAACATATTTATTCCAAATAAAGTCATTCAGTTGTGACAAGCTCTGTATTTAAGGAATGCGCAACACTGAGCAGTGGATGCCAGATGCTGTAGAAGTATATTTACAACACTATCCTAAAGAATTTGTTACTAAGCAGTGGGCTGATTTGTGTGACGTCGTTCAGCAGTAAGTATCTTTATTCAAATCAAATCGAATTTGCCATTCAATTTTGTAATAAATTAAATTTCAAGAAGTCGCTTTTAAAGTCATTAATTTGACTAATGATTTGATTTCCAAACATGGCAGTAGACTAATTTAAAAAATATTGCATTTATTTGGTCTAATCTTTTTCAATCATTTGTTAAATATTTAAATTAGCCTACAAGAGAGTTGAAATTAGAAAGTTCTATCTTTAAAAGCTATTTCAGAGTTTACGAATCATTAGGCGGACGTTTTCCATCGGATTATGTACTACCTAGTTTAAAAATACCTGTGCTTGTTCTGATCGGTGGCATGGACAGATTTTGTGTTGATCCTAGCTATTTTACAACTGTACTTTCTAACTGCAAGTTTGTAATTCTTATTTTTTTAAGCATTGTATTTTTTATTTTATTCTTTGTTATTAATTAATCTTTTGTACCTAATATGTCCCGCTAAAATTTACGAGCTACTTTCATTAATAGCTCAACCGTATTACTAACTTTATTGCTTGTGCAAAGTTATCAAAGAAATAATGACATGTGAAGGGTATGTCCAAAAGGAGAAATTAAAGATTAAACATCATCTTTGAGCACAAATTTCGAATAAATATGAATTTTTAGACTGTTCCAAATGAACAAGTTTCAGAATTCAAAAACACTCGTTAGGTGGTCATGATTTTCATCTCAAATATCCACGCTGGTTTGCGGATAATGTTGCGGCATTTCTTACAGATCCCAAAAATGAACTCTTTACTACAAATTTTCAATGAAATTACTTCCAATATTGATATTTGTAATCCTCGGAAAATATTTATCGACAGATTATGATATCAATTCATTCTATAAAGTCATCACTTACATTCATATGCTAAAGTTTTTGAACATTTTGTTGAACTGTTTAATGCATATATTAGAAGTGCATGCAGCTTTTTTCTGAAATATTACAATGCAACAACATTATGTGAGTATTGGCATTTAATTAAAATTCCATAAGTAAATAACCAGTATAGCTCAGTACCACTCTGATAAATGATGATTCTTGCTAGGCTTATACAAATATATCATAGTTTCGGGATTATTAAAATTTTGATTTCATTGGAAATAACAGAAAGGTAATTCATCTATTCATTTTCATATGTAAATAGAGTACTTGAGTTCTATTTTGCTGCATTACTTCCACTTTTATGCTAAAATTTAGTATAAACAATTTCTGTAAAGCAGTTTGTTAAGCTTACTGCAGTGATATCTCGTTAAAATTATCCATGGTTTTGTAAAATAAATTTAATATACAGTATAGATTCTTCAGTAGCATATTAACATTTTAAATGTCCATAATCTCAAAGTTATTCTAAAATATGCTTATTTCATAAGTCAATCAGTTTTTAATTGAATATTTTGTACTGCAAGCAATTGACAGGACCACAAGACACTAAAGTGATGCAAGTTTTCTGCTTTTCAAAAAAAATAAAAATGCATATCTACATCAGTAAATGAAATATGTAAATCTGCTATCTGGGAACCAAATCCTTTTAATAGCTTTTTTGATGAGAACTCAAAAAGCTACCATGTGATTAAGAGAATCCAGTTATATTTAAGCCATTCATATTTAAAATATATCCAATGAGATATTAAATTTTCATTGTGGTCCCAAAGTTTTGCAGAAAGAAACGGAAATGAATATTTATGCGTAATGAGAAATCGCCATGCTTGTTTTATGTTGTGTGTGGTGGTCATTTTCTTGCTCGATTATTTTCTTATACTTTTAGAATTACTTATATGTTGTTTTAGATGTAGGGAGATGGGCAATTTTTAGTATTTTCCCTATTAGAATGTAGTTTTCATTGATATCAATCCAATTTCTTGATTATTTCGTTTAATTCAAACATCTAATAATAGTTATACATGTACATCCGTATACTATTTGTGATGATGGTATTCACCTTTTTAATCAGGATTTCTTTTCTTCTTCCAACGCACTATTCCCTCTCTGTTTTCGTTTCATTAGTAGCAAAATGTCCTATGTCTGATTGTGCAGTTGTTGTACAACTTTGGAAGCAAGTATGTCCTACATTTACTGTTTTCCACTTCACAGCTCGGCCTAATTCTCACCGTAATTGTTATAGGAAGTCAAACTCCGTATCCAGTCTAAATTACAATAACTGTTACGCGTTTTTTTTCCGGAAAATATTTGCTTAAATTTATTGAAATTCGTTCATAAGTGCTCTAACAGATGTATTGAGAGTTAGTAATAAAAAGAATAGTACAAATCTGAGCGCGGCACAAAGACAGCCAAAGTGCCGGAATATGATCTAGCGCCAGAATCAATAAAACGAAAACGAAAACTTACCTCCATATTTATCATGTATATATTTCTTGATTTATTTTTTTATATATAACCAATCAATCTGTACCACACGGAAGTTATTCTTCTTCATTATTGATTCCTAAGTCATCACATACAAAATTATTTTCGTCTTGCATTTCATCTCCGCCCCGAGTTTATTAGCCATTAAATCGTACTTTCGCTTCTTCTCGGTCTCGACTGCTATCAACCTATCCTAACTAGTGATGCCAACCTCTATCAGGATTACTTACGTCGCTTTTTATCGTGTATCAGGATGTCCGGCCGAAGTTCTTGCTCGCGTGTCGACTCTGATTTCAACGTTTTCGTTAGCGACGATTTCCTGAACGAAGAGGCTCAATATACGTGGGAATGCTTTTACGCCATGCTTTTTGCAGAATACTAAATGAATACATCGCAGAACTTCATTGTGTCTTCTAGTATAATCGTTATATAACATTTTCTCGCACTGCGTTCGAAGATGGTCCACCGTCTTCACACGTTCCTTACAGTGTGGGCACATACTTTTCTCAACTGCAAACACATTTCTGTCTTGGAGGTGATAGTATCGCGTTTCATCCTGTGGGAATATATATATAGATTTACATTTATACATATGACGTGATCAATTTTATCATTCGTCTTTTTGTATTCGTACAGTGATTCTTTGTTATTTTTCTCATATTTTAGATTTAAGCAATGGCATCGATCGTAAATGTTTGCAGTGTACATGTATTAAATAATCCAGCAAAATTTTATGATCCTTTCAAACTGGAAATTACTTTCGAATGTTACGAGCCTCTCGTAGATGGTTAGTTTGTCATACATATACTTTATATGGTGGGAAATTTTATTTTAAAAAATAAGCATGGAAGAGATTAAATTGAACAATGTCGTCCTAAAAAAATCTTGTAGTAATTTTATGTGCCATTATGTAACATATGTATTTGTTTCTATTGTGATCTATTTTCAGATTTAGATTGGGAATTAGTTTATGTTGGTTCAGGAGAGTCCAATAAATTTGATCAAATACTTGATTCTATCCTTGTTGGACCTATTGTAGAAGGACGGCATAAATTTATTTTCGAGGTTAGAGATTACATACATCAAGATATGAGAAACCGAAGAGAAAGGCATTATTAGTTATTTACGTTTAGTGAATACTTAATACCTTAATGCATTACTATGTGTATTTAATCATTTCTTAATCATCTATAATTGATTTGGCTCGTTGGTATAGAAATTTCATGTTCTCAAAGTTGAGTAGTATTTCAATTGTTTACATATATTCCTTTGCAGGCGGATGGCCCTGATCCAACAAAAATACCTGAAAGTGAAATCGTTGGTGTGACAGTGTTGCTGCTTAAGTGCAGATATATGGAGCAAGAATTTATTAACATTGGTTGGTTCGTTGCAACAGAATATTCAGATCCAGAGTTCCAAGAAGAACCTCCTGCAACTCCAGTTTTAGAAAAAGTTAGTGCTTTAATTAAAATTTCTTAAATCACGTGAGCCTAAATTTTAACTCAGGATTTTGTGGTAAATAATGATTTATTCGAGTACAGTTGCAACGGAAGGTTTGTACTGACGATGTTCGCGTAACTACCTTCGCTATTAAATGGCGCAAAAATGAAGACACAAGATTTGGAGAAGGTGAACTGCTAAATAGTGTATCGTCTTCTGAGGACATTGCATGTGGTCCTCCAGTGATTAGCAGAAATGAGGGAACTAACTATAAATGTGACTTTGAAAGTTCACGAGCTGGAAATAATACAGGTATCTAAAACGGTATTGTCTCAACATCATTTCTAAGTTGGTGGAATGTTTGATGTCAGAAAGTAATGTTTAAATAATAATGTAATAACAATGCTGAAACTCAAAAATTATTGTGGCTTTTGAGCAGAGCATTTATTCAATCACTGTTAGTATGGTTTTGAATTTGGGTGACTAAGATTTTGTCTGATACATCAAGGGTGTGAAATTTGCACTTTCTGTGAAAAAAAGATTGATCTTCAGAAAATACTGAAGATGAATTACCTGCTACTTTTGAAAAATCTTTGGAAAAAATGTGTAAAGGAAATGCAAATGGTATTCCACTCCTTGATGTCACAAATGACTCTATTCCCGATTTGGTTGACTGAAGAATAGCAGTAGTGATCTGCGTTGTTTTTATGTTATTTGACATTTTGATTTTGTCATTACTAACTTTTATATTTCATTAAAAGTTCTGCTTTATGTTGAAAATTGTGTTTATTTTTGCTCCATTTTGTTATAAGAATATTGGAAGTAATTCATTGCAGTTCGCTTTATTGAGAGGTGTATACAACATTAATTCCATGTCTGAATACTTTGTGCAGCTTGATTTTTGTTATTTTTTGATGCTAACGTATTCAAATTTTTGATAGTGTCAATTTCGGAGTCTTGTTTGGTTATTTATATGAATCTCAATAGTTGCAGACCTTTCTGACTTTCAAATTCAGTACTTTTGGTCATCTCATTTTCCTTTTAATTATCTGATCACGTAAACGGAACTGTTTGATTATTGATATAGTGTAAGGAGAATAAGTAGTCCTTTTCCAAAAAGTCGTTTAAAAAAATACTCCATATAACTTTAAATTTTGTTTTTTTCTGTAGCGAGTGGTAGACAGCAAATATGTTGAAGTGTATTATTTTTTTGGTTTTTCGGAAGAATTCTGTTTATAATCTATCACTAGTTCAAATAATATTATTTCTGATGTAATGTTTGATTGTAAAAGGCCGGTGCTTCTTTTTCATTTCAAAATTTGTAATTTCAAAAATTCCGGCAACAAATGATCATCTGACGTCTACTTTATTTTGTTTTTTTTTCCCAGTTTTTTCGAATTGTTACTGCTTCATGTTTGTACTTGAAAGTGCAATAGTTTTTGTCAAAAATTGATTAGTGCGGAATCAGCAAATATTTCTCTCAAATTACCTCATTGTACTCATTTACCAGTGTTTTTATTCTCTGTAGAGTTATGGGTTCTTGTGCTACTTCAGTTCCTAGTTTTAAAAAAATGTTTATCCAGCACATGCGAAAAATTTATTTAAAGAGTTATCACTGCTTAAAAAAAGATAAGAAAGTATAAAAAAGTAAGGGACATGGCAAGAGGTATTTAGTTAGATCTTGACTGTGAATTCGAAAATCATCGAATATAAAGTAGTAAGTGATTCCTTACTTAAACATCTACATTCAAAGATCTTGCAGTTTTTAGCGTACATAGTAGACTAGCTGCTTTTTTCAAATCCCAAAGGACATTTTTGGTGGTCAAAGGCGTATGAGTCACGAAGATGTGATGATGTTCTTCTGACATGGTTCCATTTCTAAAATATCAAAGATTTTATGAATTCGAATATTGTCCAGTGCACATGTCCCATTTGTTGTTCCATGATTTTCACACATAAAAAGGATCTGAAATATATGTCAACATATATTGCATAAATATATTTGTACAATTTAATGAACAAACATTGTATAATCATATCAGGATGTTATATTGTATTTTGGGGTGAGAGCCAGAGGAAAGAAGCTAGGATTCACCTTTGTGGTCCCACGAGGACAAGTATATCTCACAGTTCTCCAGTTCACTGGTGTGGCATTTATTGATGTTGCAAAGGGACAAAACAGTTTGGACGGTGGATTACCACTCAGTAATGTAGTTATGCTAATAAATGACTCTGAAATCATGGTCTTGCATTGATAAGTCTCTTTAGAAGTACTGCACAAATTTAAGTACTCGTGTAGTATATCACACAAAAATGAAGCATACTTGCATAAATTAACAGCTAAGAGTCTGGTGAAAAATACCAAAATAAACTTCAGAGGAAGGAAAATATGACAATAAGAGTACAAGTGGCTTTGTTTTGACAAGTGTGGGAGGGATTATTCAACACTTGTCATTCTTTAGATGTATCGTTTGAATAAGTTCTGATGCGTATCAGGAATTACGGATAAGTAATGGCTAACCTAACGTTTCTATATTGGCTTTATAACAGCATCCATATAATCGTTCTCCTTCTGTGAATTCCAGCACATCAAAAACAATTTTATGATCTTCATTAAAAATTGTGTCGGTTTCTAGCACTGCCAAAGTATTTGGTCTCGTCACTGCTTGCATAAAATTATGGCCAGAAACTAAATTATGCGTAGATCAGCGCTAAATGGCCCATGCTTACTGTGCAGACATGTGTAATAATACAATAAACGGAATATGGAACAATCGATTTGTTTTAAATTGAAGAAATTTTTAAAGGCAATAAAAAACTTTGTCAAAATAGAGCTTTGTAATTTATAAAACTTACGTATCATTCGTTGAAAAGTTGAACCGCGTGAGACTGGTGAACTGCGATAAGAACACATAGAGTGGTCAAATAAACAACCTCCAGAAGCATTACATGCGAAAAGATTAAAAGTAAGCAATGGAAATGGAGTTAAAGTTGTTGCAAAGCGTGTGTCATCATCAATTCCACTGTACGTTCGATGAATCAGTCTAAGTAAGTAAGCTTGTCTTAAGTATCATCAACATTTAAGAATAAAGAACGATTAATTTCTGTTTTTCATGCATTTAAGATCATGTATGTATATCTGCTGTGAAAGTATGAGCAATCACCGCAAAAAGTTTTTAAATTTTCTGTTTGAAATGTTAATTTAAATTTAATCACTGTCATTAGCAATGAGACCTATCAGAGTTATACTTTTACATTAGCTGAGTTTCCAAACTTAAATTAATTGAATTTGCTTACAGCTGGAAACGAATTAGTTTATAGATTGGAACTGTTTGTTGATTTATTTTTCATTGTTTTGTAATTATTCCTTTCCTCAGATTTTATTCTGAGCGTAAAAAATTTTTTACCCATCATCAGTGACATCGTTTGTTTCAATATTCTGTCTTTCATCAATTAAACCATCTGTATCATCCACCAGAAACTGCGCGAAAGCATCACCAAAAATATCATTCAGTACTAAAATAGTAAAAAAAAAAGCAATAGATGTATGCAGAAGTGAAAAGTGCTAAATTTGGTAAATACTGATAGAAGAGTTTTCTAGTTTGGTAAATAGAGCAAAAAGTTTTTAAAAAACGAAAATTCAGCATACTAAATGAAGAATTTGAATTAGGTGGCATTGTAGTGGTTGTGATTGTTGATAACTTGACGATACTAAAAGTTTCAGAATCTGGAAGATGTATTGGTGATATATTTCTTTGTTTTTTATTACTTCCTTCAACTAAATGTAATTTAGTTGATCTTAGTTTAGATTGTGCAACAGGCAAACAATATTCATCGGTAATAACATGAATGCTATCAATAACAGCCGTAGCAACAGCACGTCGACCGTGATTTTGTAGTTTGATATAAAACTAAAATCTTTATCTATGCATTAAAACTTTGAAGATTATTCTTGAAAATCTTTTTGAATAAATGTCAGTTTATTATTCAAATCTAATAAAACATAAGATGCTTTTTTTCGATGATATGGAATTTATCAGCGTGTTTTCATTTTTATATAAACTTGTAAATTTTTCAAACAATTTTTGTTACTGGATTTGGGCTAATTTTTAGGAAACCTGAATGGGTCGCATAGGAGTAACGGTAAAATGCTTGTTGACAAATTCAGCTGAACTCCAGGTTCGTAAAAAAGTACAATGTCGATAAATGCTATCATCATCATTAGCAGGTTTCCAGCACAATTTTAATTTTGTTGCTGGTGTCTGATACGATCTAAAACTATCGTGCTTCTGATTTTTTCTGATTAAAATATAGAAACCTTAATTTTTTAAAGTTTTATAAAAATGATTCTTTTGATCACTATTCATACTTCTAAATTGCACTTGCTGAGAAATGGGGACCAAATTTATACTTGAAATTGAATCAGTAAAATTGATTAAAATGGTAAATCAAAAAGCTGAATTACAAAAAGTATTAGTGAGATAAAATCCTTAAACAACAAGCAAACCTAATGCGAATGGTGAAACGGCCTGTTTTGGAACATGTCACACAAGATGTCCAGTCAGAAGAAAATGTCTGTTCTGACGTTACTGAAGCTGCCAGGAAATATTTATCTAAGATAAATTTAACATTGTAGACTATCGTAAGTTTGCTAGGATATATTCTCTTGAATTTATGTAATATGAATTAGAATACAAATAAAAATCCATTACATAGCAACTATACCTTCAGCAATATGCAAGAAACTGCTGAAATTTAAAAAATTTGACAAGAAAAGTTACAAATGCTTTAATTCAAATGAATATCAATTCACTGCAAATTGCTATTGCTTTACAAATAGCTTAATTATAGTAATGAAATATGATTTGTTCACCTTACAATTACAATTGTAATTGCAAAATATGCACTAAAATATATGCTTTATTCTATTTTGAATAAAATAAAATTGAAGCAAAGTTTCAAGCCTTCGTTACTAACTCATAGATTAAATGTAATTTATAAATGCTTCAATAAGAGTTGTCAAACTGCTGAAGCATAAAAATGGCATTATTTGCGCGAAAATTGAATATGTCATGTTCTATGCTAATTTTGTATATTCTTTATATTGACCATTAGATATGCTTGTTTTGAACATTCATAACTGTAAAAAAAACATTGCACGCACAAGAAGAATGATTGCAATTAATAAAGATAATATGCTCTCTGCGCTAGTACAAATGAATAACTTTTTTTACAGGTTTGGAATCAAATTTTATGTATTGAATTTGATTTTTCGCAATTTTTAATAGCGTTGTTCTCGAATGAATGAAGAGCAATCAATATCTAAATTTGTAAATTCCACGCAATTTATAAGGAAGAAATTTGATCAAATCCACTATAAAGTATTATAACTTTTTCGAACTTTACCGCGAAAATTCTTATAATTTCCAATGAAAATATAGGAGTCATAAAATATTTTCACTTTTTTTGCATAGTGCTTATCAGGTTTTTATTTTATTAATTTTAATCATGATTTTTATTAGGCAGTTAGATGCTTATCTCTATTATGACAACTCGAGAATAATCTTAAAAAAATTCCTATGCTGCACTTAATCATAATTTTAATTTTCTAATTTCGAAAGTAGCCATTTATAATTTCTTTCTTCCAATAAATAATAATAATAATAATAATAAATAATAATAACTTAATAATAAAACAGTGGCAATCATTATTTTTTTGTAACTATTACAATAATTCTATAGAGCAGAAAAAATGTTGAAAGACGGTACATTTATAAATTTTTCTAATTTGACAATATATCTGCTAAGGGATAAGTTATGTTTGCCATTGTTTGGGCATGTCAAATGAGACTGAAATACAGAAATCATTATCTTACAAAATGAAAATGAACAAAAAGCCTATTTTTAGATTGTTCAAATGAGGAGTTTCAAAATTGTTTGTGCTCTTTCTTCTCCGAGAAAACTGGATATTTTAAATTCTTGAGAACATTTTGACGTTATACATTCATTTTTTGGAAATTTAACGGTACTCAACGTTTCATGGCGCAGAATTAAGGTCAATGAACATTTTCTACTCATTTTCTTGGAACAGTGTTGTGTGTTTAATCGTTTGTTGTGAGAATTAAATCATATAAATCGGTGAAAATCTAAAAGCCTTTGCTAATTACAGCTAACGAGAATAATAAATTCATTCATCAATGATAAGGGAAGGAAAGCATCTGAATTATTACATGTCAATTATATTAATATTACATGGACTTCATTTCTTAACTGTGATAAAAATCTTTATTGTCATGTAGTAAAAATATATTATTATATCCCGAATACAAAATATACAAAATATTAGTTACTTTTTTCATTCACTAATTTATTATGGGTGGCTTGATCAGTAAAATAATCATATGTTGACTTTGAATAATTTCTACTGATTGGTTCTTAAATATAATTTATCAGCAATCTCGGTTTATTAACAGTTATCCAACAAATAGTTGTTAAATTTATTATGTTACACATTTTCATTATGAAAAACGTTGCTCATTAAAATGAATTAAAAACTAACTCAATTCATCTTCATAAAGTCGTGAGCGCAAAATAGTTCTATTTTCATCATTTCGAGCGTTACCACGATAAATTTGCCACGATGTACCGTTACCTTTATTTTTCCAACAACACGATTTAAAGTCGAAATTACAATCAAGGGAATTATTGTGAACTGAAAATTATGTAGATGAAATTTGATATATATAATTTTTGTATAAAAAATTTTTCAATTAGATGAGCTCAATTAGCAAGTAAACATCAAAACTGTACAGCAAAATTTGGAATCAAGCAAATAATGATATCTGTATAACATATACATTTTTGAATGTTACTTAAAAATTGAATTTGAAACAGAAATCTTTTATAATTTAAAATAGAGAATCTACAACCAACATCACCTATGAAATCTAAAACAAGTATCATATACTTAATCAAAGCACTTAGTTGAGATAAAAAATAAATTATATACAAGCAAAGATAAGAATTTCATTCCGCTCATATATGACTGACTTATTAACATTGCAGTATAGATTGAAAGCATGCGAGTATTTGAGATAATAAGCAAATTAATACCTGAAAATGGTACAAGTATGAGGAAAAGTGACCAGACACAAAGTAAATTTGGTCTTTGAAATGGAAACATGAATATGTATATAGTTAAGCAAGTAAATGAATAGAGTAATAAATAAATAATTTGTACGAGAAGATTATATCAAAAACTGATTACTGTCACAGTAGCAGAAATAAATAGCAGTAGAATTAAAGACGGCAATAGAAGTATTAATGACAATAATAGTAATGATATCAGTAGCAGTGATGGCGGTAGGTGACAAAATTGATCTCATTGCAGTCTCAGTTCAGAATATTAAGGCTGGCAGAAGGCAGTGAGCAATTTGGTCCGCATGTTTTGTGGGTGTTTTAGATGCATTTCATGAAATAAATATCCATACAATATATCTCTCCTCATGTCATCGTATTCTTCCTCTACTTTTTCTCCTTCTGGTAGTCAGTCGCTCATTTATTTATTCACTTATTCATGCTCACAACACTGTTCCTTTCTCGCATCTTCCATAAATTACTAACCAAACCTGTTTTTTGAGAACTTAAACTTTTATCCAGTCGCTCATTTATTCATTAATTAATGCTATTTGATCCAGCAACAGTGATTTAATCTTGAGCCGTATTTAAACTTACAATCACCCCAACTAAATCATAACACAGCAAAAATTTTCGCAATCTGCCCATTAAACTTGTTAAGAATTTATTATTATTGTCATTATTATTATTTCATAATAATAAAATAATAATAACAATAATAATATTGTTTTATAACTTTTCTTCTGTTATCAAAATTTAGTCGAAAAATAGTGCTTGACACATTTTTTTAAAAAGCTGAATTCACGCAGTATGTTATTGTAAAATTAGGTATAAATTTCTTAAACATACTATGCAAAAGTTAAAAAAAAACAGTGAATATGGTAAAAAAAGTCATTTTATTGATAAGCTAAAATGAACAACTTCGCAATCAGTTATCTGTTCCGACTATTTAATGTATTAATTACAATAACGATAATATTTGCTATTTCCATTGCTTTAATGAATTAAAATAACGGAAAGCGGACACATACGCTCTGAAAAATACAAAAGCAATGTCATTATAAAATGTAAAAATAATATTGTTAATTGTTTTATCCAGACATAACAACAAGTCTAAATTTGAATTGTAAGGTCTTTTTCCAGTGTACATTTTTTTCGAGCCATTTTTAATGGATAGTGTTTGCTGAGAAAATAATCCTTAATATCTATTAAACTAGTTTTTTTAAAGCGATTTCAAAATTAATAATTTGATTTTTAATAAGTATAAATAAAAAATGAAAAGGATTGTATACCTTTCGAACTGATCATTGTTTATTCTCTACTTCTTTCAGTTAAAAGAAATGCATGATAGTTAAATTTAATGTGAGTACTTAGCTGTTAGAGAAATTAAATATCTTTTAAAACTATTTTCGACAAAACTTCAATCATTTTCACTTTCTTATTTTCGACTAACCAAGTTAACATAGTAAATTTATATTGTTGAATTATTTGGTCACTTTGCGTGTGAAAGATTATAGCATTATTTATTAGAAGATACTTTTTTTTTCTTATCGGCCACTTTTGGGACTCAAATATTTGAAATTGCCTCACCAATTAAATGTATTCGATAAACAGATATTTGAATATCTTAAGAACAAAGATCTATACTATTTACATGAAGTAATAATTTTTACATTATATTTTGTGCAATTTTTCACATCGTATACTCTCAGAGTTTTATTGGCAAAAGTTTTCTATTAACATTTTTAGTTTATATCAGTTTTTTCCGGTTAAAATTATTTCTCATTATTCTATTTCTTTCTCAATTTAGTTTGAAAATTTAGATACTTTTTTTAACAGAAAAGAGTTCAAATATTTTGTGTATCAAAGAAATAATGCAAAGAAATGATGAATTTATAAACTATAAAAGAGCTAAAAAATGAAAAATTACATGCCGACAAGTGTTGATAAAGATGTTAAGCAGTTCTTCAGAAAAGCAAAATTAAAAATATATAGATAATTTCTTTATGCTATGATATTATCCTAACGAGTATAAGCGCAAAATTAAATCAACAAATATATATTGATTCAAAGAATGAAAAACTTTAAGAATTTGACTACTCTCATTTTATGCTTCCAAAAAATACTTTGATTGGATTTCAGGTAAAAGTTTTTTGGTTGCCAAGATGCAAGATACTAAATGTCTTTCTAATAATAGATCGAAACTTTAAAATGCGCATAAATTTTCAATTTTAACTTTTGAAAAAGTTTTTCTGAGTTTTTTTTTTCAAATTCTCACATAAGTTGAAGTGATAACTTGTTTTATCATCCTGACAAAGAATAAACATTTTCATAAACAAACTTTATCAATTACTATGAGATAACAATTTGTGAATGAACTTGTATATTTCTGATTCATTGCATAGTCCTTCGATGAGAAACATTTTATAATAAATCAAGTGTTTGTTAAATATTTGTTGTTGAAACCTGTTCGTCACCTTTATCCTAGTGACTTTTATTAATTTCGTAAATACCACGAATAATGCTGGAGAAACACTAAAATCATATCAAATTTAATCTTATTACCTTTAAATGGAGAAAAAAATTAAGGTATTATAGAGTAAAAATAAAAATAAACAATAATATAGATTATTATAGGAATTAAAACATCTCTATTTTTTCATTAATAACGACAAATTAGTGAGCATATACAGCTGTAGACAGATAATATAAATTATAGAATTTCGAAATTATTTGTTGACAGTCTAGAATTATTTTAAAAAAACTAGTTAGTTAGATTGTTTGCAAAGCAATTTGGCCTGTTTTCTTTTTATACTAATCCATCAAAAGAAACCTAAAAACCTTATCACAAGCAATACATTCTTCAAGTTTATAAAATGAAAATGTGATTAATTTCAATTTTTTTCTGTTCACAAATTGCAAACACATTGAAAAATTTGATTCACTTCTGCCTCATTCGTGTTTTTTTTCGAGGAAACAGTTTTTACAAGTTGTGCTTCTTCAAATAACTCAGAAAACAATGAGATTTTGTAGTTACTGTCATTTGTTTACTCATTCATTTTATAAAGATAAATTATTATTATTACATTTTATAAAAATTAAGTAAAGCTTGTAGACAAAATACTGATGACTCCTAACTACAAAATTTATTATTTTCAGTTTACTTTCAGAATTTATCTACAATAGAAAGATGGACTCGATTTCAAATTTATCAATAGACTCGATCTATTTATCATGTCTAATTTTGCACCAGCAATAATTTAGAGACATTTGAATATAAAATCCAGCTAAACAACTAATTCGTTGCTGTTGTATGACTCATTCCAATTATTCAAAATTAAAAAATTATTTTTGCTAATGGCTTTTAAAAAGAATTTAAGAAATAATAAAGTGATCTTATTTTTCAAAATTGTTTAAGAGTTCAGAAAAGCATTTACTTGCAAGTAATTCGTAACTATAAATTTTAGTATTTCATGGTGAAGCACAAGAAATCAAATGTTTATAGAGTGTTATATCAAACATAGAAGTTTCTTTTTTGGCAAAGCAATATGCACCTGTAACTGTATATATTTCGTTGACTGCCATTTAAAAATTGTGCCTAAGAATTAATTTTTTAATTGAGAAAGATACTGAATAGCAAAAAATTCAATTTATATGCAAATATATTCAAGAAATAAATTCTTGTCTTATTGAAAGTGTATACAATCAAGCAAAAAAACCAAGTTAAAATAAATTTAGTTTCTTATACATTCAACAGTAAGGAAGAGAAAGAAGATAAACTTTGTATTCTTCAGTTCCATTTTTTATGAAGATATGTACACCGTGCAAATGGAGTGATTAAAATAAATAAAATTAATATTAATTTCAGAGAGAATAAATCAAAATCAACCACTCTACAGCAAAAAGCAATTGATGAAATTTACAAATATAATAGACTAATTTTATGATCTAGACTGACAACGCTGAACAACTTTTGCTTCATTACACATTCTCAAAGAAACTTACACATCGAAATAATTATATTCCATAAAAGAGTGAATTTAAAAAATTTGAAAGAAGAAGACAGTAAAGAAATATTAGCGTGCTAAAGGTTGGTTGATACGAAAAGTGGACAATTCTAAAATTGAGTCTTAATTTATTACTGGCAATAAAAATGGAAAATTTATAGTTGAAGTATCTAAAACACGAGTCACAACACCTATATCGTAAACAAAACCTGCTTCAAAAAGTATATGAGAACAAAACTGAAAGGGAAAAGCTGCACTAAAATAATTTAGAATTCTATTTCATGATACTTCACTCATTAAGTTCAAAAATTAACTTAATATTCTAACTTTTAACTTTCAGATCAGTTCAATTAGAACTATCTTCAGAAAGTGATATTTTAAATACCAAAATTAATGCTTTTATGATTAGCATACATATTCCATTGCTTCTATTATTGATTTGCTGATCGATTACTTGGTTATGTTAATACATATTACTTTATTTTTCTTCCAATTAGTTTTGAATTGCTTAAATGTCCAGGTATGTTCTGAAACATTTTTAATTTGATAGAAGAAACAGGCAATAATAATTAAAGCAAAAATTTTCTTTTTCAAGCTATTAATTTGTTTCCGTTGTTGGAAATGTATTTTTCAGTACGGTTAACTTGACATCTTAATTATTTTAAATATCATTAATAACAAGAAACTTTCAGCTTTATTAAATAGATTGAATTTTTGTTTTTAGTCAGATTGATGAAGCCTTATTTTGATTCTTTCCACTTGCTGCGGCAAGGTCCTGCATATCCTCCCTCATTCCTGTTTTTTAGTAATTTGACTGTAATTATAAATGAAAAAACCTTTGTGTATTAATTTGAAACGAGAGATTTTGGTTCGATTTATAGTTTTCATGTGTTCTCTGAGTTCTGCTACAGTTTAACATTATCCTTGCTGGCTTAGCAACTGATATTTCCACAATTTCATTTTCCTAAACTTAATACAAAACATGAAAATATTTTCATTCTCTAACGAATGCTTTCCGCAATTTATATCATTATAACTTTGGAAGTTAATCCATTAACAATCCCGAATTTTTTTTTTGCAAAATCATCACTGAATTTCAATAATATTTTATTATTAACTGTTACAAATAACAGTTAATGAGAACTTTTACAAGATGTAAAAAAAAATATCAATTTCTGCTACAGTTTGTTTAATGACAAAAATTGCTGGCAAAAAACATCAAGAAAAATAATTACTGAAATTAAAAATCTCCTACTTTTTCAGGATCTTCGGGTGTAGTAGAATTTGAGGTTTGATGACTGCTTGAACTTGAATCATTTTTTAGTGCCCGAAGACTAACAAAATAATCAACAACTTCTTTGTACTCCTTATGAGCAGCAATAGCCTCCGGAGTTTGATCCATGTTATCCGGAATGCATCGTCGAGCACCTGCCATCACCAAAAGATGTACGATTTCAACGTGGCCTTGAGATGCAGCCAAAAATAGCGGAGTTTGTCCCTAATGAAGATTTAAGCTTTAGCATTCAGCACCAAAACATCATTTTGTTCTATCAGTATTATTGTCCAACTGTATAATCAGACATTAAGTGTAAAAGAATTTTTAAGCCAAAAGATAGGATAAAAGACGACTATAGCACGAAAATATGAATTGTTCGATTTCTAAACATAATAGTATATTGAAAAGTACCAATAATATTTTTTAGATAGCTTATCAAGTTTTGCTCTTGAGAACTTATATACATACCATTTGATCTTGAATATTTAAATTAGCGCCTCGTTCTACCAAGTACCGAGCTAACTCTTGATTACTTTGCATTGCAGCATAATGAAGCGCTGTTCTACCAATATACTTTTCACCATTAATATGATTACCAGCGCAGTTAATATCTGCTCCAGCGTCAATTAACAAAGCAGCAGCTTCAGGATTTCGATAGCCAAGTTTTGCGATTGTCATTAATGGACTGCAGTCCGAATCATCAATTGCATCTACCTAAACTTAACACAGTAAGCATGAAAAAAATATTACTAATCCAATCAATAATCATCGTAAAAGTTAAAGATTGCTTTATCATTTAATCAGCCTTGATGAAAAATCATTGAAACTCTAGAAAAATATCAAAGGATCTTTGTTTGTTTCTCTCTATACTCAAGCTTTTTAATAACTCAAAAAATTTATGCAAAAGATTAGGATAAATTAATGTCACTGTAATGAAAGTAGATTCAACCAAAAAAAGGACAACAAAACAAAATAAACCTCAATTTCTTGTGCTTCAAGCAACAGACGAAGAATATCAGAAGCATTGATCGAAGCAGCGTGGTGGAGTGTAGTTCGATTATAATCATCTACATCTGTCACGTGTGCACCAAGGCGTAAAAGACATTTTACGACTTCAGCACGTCCAGCCTTAATTGCCAAAATTAGCGCAGTTTGGCCATAATCGTCCTCTTCATCGATAAGCGCACCAGACAAGAATAAATTTTCCACATCAGAACAACTAACTTCTTCAGATTTCATCTGATTTAAAGCTGTTAGCATCATAGCTGTTCTTCCCTCAGTCGTTTTAATACTTAATAGTGATTTATTTACCTAAAAATGGTCACCACTGATAAAATTTCTTAACTTACTTTTCATCATTCAAGTGAATCAATTTACGAATCATTACTACACAGCAGAAGCAAAAGATAACAAAACGGTAATAGTCTATGCCATTTACTACGAGGCTGAATCAAGAAAATATATATCATGACTAGGAATAATTAAGCACTAAAAAATTACTGATATTTTAAAAAAGGTCAGTCCCAAAAATCAGGCAAAAAGTTTGCATCGTATTAACCGACAAAGATTGTAAAGAATTGCTTACAATATTCAAAATTAAACATTGAAAAGGTTCAACAAATTGAATCGATCATTACCGGAAAAGTGATGGGAAAGTAGTCCATGGCCTGATCATGAAGTGTAGTCCATCGTCTTTCACTCGGCGCCTCTGGTTCAAGTGATTTTACGCTAATTTCAATGAAATTCTCCGTCTGCTGATTTTTTTCAGTTTCCGAAATGCCATTTGAATTAATTTGGAGTTTTGGAGTGAACAGATTCTGAGAACAATCTGCAATTATTTTTACTCATTTATTCTACGGTGAATTTATAAGTAATAAGTTTGTGAAATAACTTAAAAGCACTTGCATTACTCAATTTCCATCAATTAAAGTGTGAATGACAAAACTAATATTTTGAAAAATAGACCTCTCTTAAAAAAATTTGTGACAATACGTCTATGTTTACTCATCATTTCATTACAGAATTCTAGTTTGTTTTTGTCACTGCAATCAACAGGTTAATCAAAAGTAACGTAAGCAGTGACAATATTTCACATGATGGTGAAAATGTAAGTGATATACATAAATTTTAATAAATAAACTCGAATAGAGCTTACAAGTATCTAAAGTAGGCGGATACCAAGTTCCAGTTACATGAACTGTTCTTTGTTTTTTTTTGGTAGCATTTTTTTTAAAATTTTTATGTAATGAAAGTAATACAAAGGCCATAAAAATCTGTGAGACTAAAGCAGACAATATATAAAGTATCCATTTTCTCCAACTCTTGCTCTTGAATTTAGGATCAGTTTCAGCAGCATAAATTGGTGCATCAATACGATGAAACATCTGAAAAATCCTCTACCAAAAAATAAATTTTCAACAACTCAAATGAATGAAAATTTTAGCTCCATATAACAGGTTACTAAAATGTTATAACTTGTAGCATTGAAAAAATTGCACATTAACCTTTTTCGAGCTCAATGCACCTATAAAATTAGTAACTTTCTCCATATCAGTTATTTTGCTTTCACAATGTTCTTTGCTTTGACACTGCTTTGTATCGACATTTAAGTATAATCTTGTACCATATAAAGTACTTCCTGTAAAAACTGAGTCAGCCAATTTTGACTCATAATCATAGTGAAAAATAAATGAAACAGATAAGAAAGCTGGGAAATTTCAGATGTAATCAAAATTGAATCAGCTCCTAAACCTTTGCTTTCAATCTTCGATAGATATAACCGTTGTTGATTTTCCTCATCAACAGCAATAGTGACTCTTGCCTGTAAGCTAAGGCTCAAAGTGAACTGCAAGACAGATGCACGCTTTGAAAATTCTTCAGGCTTAATCAAAATCGTTAATATCAAATTGCCTTCTAACTGTAAAGAGAGAAAATAATAATGAACAACTTATCAAAATTGTTATTCTTTAATGAAGTTAACTCGTGACCTTTTGTCCAGTCTTAATATTAAATATTACGATAAGAAAAATGTTTCGAATATCCAAGTTGATTTTTTCATAAAAAATTCTGTGGTTTAGAAGAGCATTTATTTAAAGAAACATTACATTTTACTTTTAAAACTACTTTGAATTTAACAAACCCTATTATATTCTATTTGTTGTGTGCAATCAAAGCCATCGTAGTAGCACTCTGGAGAAAAGCATTCTCGATCACAGTAGCCGTCATTGAATCGAATTGAGCAATATTCTTCCGACACACATAAACTGCTCTTTGTATCACAATCAAATCCATCCCATAAACATTCCATACTATTGCAAACCTTCAAAACATGTTCTGAGATTAGTTTATTTCTAGCAAATGACTAATTAAGACTGTAATTTTGTCAAAAATTTATTATTTTAATAGAATTACTGGTTTTTTATCAGATTAAATGAGAAAAAAAATTAAAGTTGAAGCTTAAGATAAGAAATTATTATTTTTTCAATGTAACGAACCGGATCACACTTATTATCTTTAAATACTCGAGCACAAAATCTTGGAAGTGGACAGTGACGAAACGGTTCTACGTGAGCACTGCAATCGTAACCATCATAATGACACTTTGGATAGTTGCATTCTGAATCACATATTGCATTGCCAGCTTTTGCTGAACAATTTTGAAGTGTGCAGATTTGCTCTTCGAATAATTCTTCTAGATAGTTGTTATTCAATGAAATTCGATGCTGCTTACACACTCGACCTTTGACTCCTGTAGGACAATTCTTCTCACAATTCTTTCCATAGTATCCTGAAAAATAAAACATTGCTTGATTAGTCTTTTCAAAACAACAAATAAAATTAAGTCCAGTTTTTTGGAATATGCATCTGTTTTCATTGAATTAAATAGTCATATTTGGAGAATTTATGCTACTTTCGATGCATACGTTAAAATATTTGTTTATTGCATTAATAAGTGGACTTGCATATATTCATCACTTGACATTGCAGCAAAAATTACCATCTTGACAGATACATTCATAATAACTAGCGTAATCAAGACATGATGCACCATTCAGACAAGGATTCGGTTCACATTTACTAGAATGTGTCATGCAGTATGGATCACTATAGCCAAGAGGACAATCACAATACCACGAACCAAAAGTATTTACACATATTCCACCATTAAAGCATAAGTTATCCGACTGAAAAATGGATGAGATAAGGTTTGTCAAGCAGTAGATAAGTTGATTCCAGCCACTTTAAAAAATCTTCTACTCAAACAATCAAAGGACTCATTAATTTCACGAATTTTCGGGAAAGATATTTTTTCTGAGCAGGTAATAGCTCTACGTTTCTTAATAAGATATGTTATAAACTTAATTTACATGTCTGCGCTTTCCTTAAAATGATCTATTATTGTACTGTTACCTTCGCAAGTAATCAGTTTAATTATAGTTATTGTATAGACAAAAAAGTTATTGCACTCGTGAGTACAGTAACTTACCTCTTCACACTCGTTTATGTCCGTTGCACAATCTTGACCTTTAGTACCTTTCATACAGTTACAAGAGAAATCGCCATTAGCGGTATCTGCTACACACTCAGCTCCACTTCTACAAGGCTGATCTATGCAAGGGTCATCTAAATGACAAAACAAACCTGAAATAAACAATAATGACCAGTGTTTTATTCTCACAGTGCAATATATTTTTTCTGTTGAATGTAAATATCAGGGTATATCAATCACATACTAAGATGAGCAAAACAATGACCATTTGGAACAAATCTACTCATGGGAACCTTATTCACATTTCTTTTCAAAAAACCGATCATGTATTGTGCAGTAATAATTTTACTATTTAACAGACTTCCATATATTTATCAGCCTTTATAATAACGCTTTTTCCAATCGGTGGAAATCAATGATTTCAAGATAATTCTATATTTGATTATATTTATTTGATAGAGTTAAATTATCAAAGTTAGGAAGCTCAGCGAATAAGGCATTTTTTATTAAAAAAAGAAAATAAATATAATATAATATAAGAAAGACCCATTTTGCCTGGTGGACAAACGCAAGTGTATTTGGACATGCCATCAATGCAAGTACTTCCAGCTGCGCACAAATTTTCTAAACAATCGTTTGTATTTTGGGAACAATTTTTTCCCACGTAGCCGTTCAAACATATGCATTCGTAATCACCATCATCAATGCTAACGCATGTTCCACCATTCTCGCAATAATTTTCATTGGTCTCATCACAGTTACTTCTTACTAAACTTATAATTCGGATAATTTTACTTAATCTAAATCGAATTTAAAAAAGATGTTAAGTATATTAGGTTTTATACTTGGAAAACAAAAAACTTAACCTCCTTTACTGAGAAATATTTCAGAATGACGGATACAAAAATAAATTTTTGAGTGTATCATAGAAAGTAAGAACTATTTTTATATTAATGATTATAATATACTAGCAAAGTTTTTTAATAGCATAAATCATGTGAATTGTCACTTAAGTTGTTATTTTACAGAATTAATTATTGTCGAGTTATGTTACAAGCAGCATTCGTTTTTTTTATTTGGCTTTTTTGCCATAGAAATAATCCCAAAAGGGATTGTAGCGTTTTTTTTTAAATTTTTTTAAAATTGCTAATTTGTGACAGCCTACCTGCAAGAGTAAAATGAAGCCCAAAATTTATTTCTACCAGTAAATTGAGTAATATGCCTTGACAGTATTTGAAAGAATACATTTGTTGATATTCTTTATCTTTATTAGCAAGAAAGTTGTCTTCAGATAACTCTTAAATTATTTTATAAAACAAAGAGCAAAAATAATTGATAATCGCAAGAATGATCTGAAAAGCCAAAATGCTAAAAACCGGAAAGATTATTGGTGTTTACTAAGCAGGAGCGTAAGTTGGAACATTCAGGAAGAGACGCAAGCTTACTAAACTTTATCCTCATTGATACGCATATGGTTGCAGTTATTGAACAGTAAAGTAAAAATAATGAAAATAGATGAAGAAATGGTTATACATCTGAAAACGGAAAAAATTTCAAATTCAGCATTTTAAAGTTTAGGCTTCTGCGATACACAAAAATCAACCAAACCACACCAAAAATGTGTAAGATGCTAAAATATTTGTGGAATGCCTCTTAATGAAGAAAATAATGAAGGTTGAGAAGGTTGAATTAAGAGATACTCAGGCAGATGGAATAAACGGTGTGAGAAAAAGAAATGAAGAAAACAATAGCTGAGAATGTCTCAAAAAATTGAGCACTGAACTTACATGACCTCAGAGGGAATAATGACCTGAAAACAATTAAATAATCTGAGAAAATTTCTAGTAATCCTATTCTTTTCTATTTTCGCTTACCTTCAATTTTCACTCTTTTTGAGATTTCAGATAAGTTACTTTTGACACTTATTAGTATTAGCAAAGCATTATTTTCCCATACTCTGACATTGTTCAGTGAGCAATTCAAATGAGTTCTTTATATGATGCATTCTCAGGGTATATTATGCAATCAAAATAGGAAAATCTCAGCAAATATTTAGCCTGTTATTCATAATTATGGCATACAAATGTTATTTTACATACTCCGCTCGATAAGTTCAATTCAATTTTGAAACTAATTTGCCAAAAACTCCAGTCGATAGGAATCAACTTTTTGAAGGAATGAAATGACAAAAATGGACACACAAAGTTCTCTCCATCAATTGCGTTTCTATTAAAAGCGATGTAACATAATTTGAAAAATTAACTTTCATATTTAATATACACATGATAAGTATAAACTGTGCACGTAGCAGGTTTCTATCTAAAACTCATGCATCAATTATATTAGTACAAACTAAAGCTCTAATTTTTCAAATCTTCATAACGTTACTAGCATTAGTTATTGCAGCAGAACAATTCCATCTGTGTATGCAGATAAAGCACATTTCTAACTCAAATAAACTGCATCCATAAACAGTCAAAATATTCAATTATTTTTGTATTTATCCCACTAAATTGTTGTTTATGCTCCCTTAAGATTTCTTATTTCTTCTTCTTTTTAGTTTTGGATGGCTTAGATGCCTGTACGGTTTCTGAAATATTAGACCTAGATAAAAATGAAAGTATATAAAGATTGAAGCAACTAGTCTTAATTTTGCAACCCAAATACTCATTAAAAATGTGATTTTCCAATTCAGAAAAATATCTGAATTAGATTTTAGTCTCTTTGAAATCAAAATCTTTAATTCAATTTAAAATGTTTGTTTCCGATTCTTTTTTTTTCACTTTACGACACTTTTATTTAATTTTTTGCGATTTTGATATACACAATATCATATGAGATTTCAACTACAGTTGTAAAAGTTATATGTGAGAAATTTTACTTATTACTCATCCATTCCATCTATATTAATGGATAAGATAAAAATATACCTGTTTTAGTCATAGTAGAGACAACTGTATCATCTTCAGTTCTAATTTTCACTTCATCTACACTGTGCTCTTCATCTTCTTGGAAGTTTATGAAATTTCCATTTTCATCAATGGCACAACATCGAGAGCACAGGAAACATTCACAAAGTACGCGCCACGGTGGGCAAATGCAACATAACATCAACACCAACACTATTATCATATAATATATTATCGTAAAAATGTTGGCAAAAGTTTTACATTCTGAAGGCAAAAGACAGTATACATTAATCAGTGAATAATTATGATTATTGTGTCTAAAAAAAACATTTAATAATCCTTTCCATCGCAAATTTCAGTTTTATTTGTAAGGAAACTAAAATTTTGATTTTATCTAAAATTTATAAAAAAAAATTAAATGCTATTTTATGTTCAACATTACTTGCTCATTAATTCGTAATTTTAATGAGCAAGTAATGTTGAACATAAAATATTTAAAATGTGACACTCAGCCGAAAATCAAAAGTTCAATATCTTGAGCACATTTGTATTTTCATCAAATTAAGTTACGGTGAGTTAGAAATAGAAATATATCTCAAAAGTAAAAAATCTTCAAGTAAAATACAAAATTCTTTGTTTGAAACTTCCAATTTTGTATGCTTTTCGTTTATTCTATAAGTTACTGCATGCACGACCGATAGAATTAACGAAAAATGATCAGATTATTTTTGATTATCTTGAAATTACCGCAATTTTCAAAAATATATTAAGAAATTTTACCTGAAACCACTGATAATACACACAGTGACAGGAAAAGAAATAAGACAACTGGTCTGAAACTCCGACAGCAACCTAGCATTTTCGCTTCTGGTTCACAAGGGGTATATTTGAACATGAAATGGCTCCTACCTTTAATCGTTACATTTAGATACTACTTTAATTTGACATGATATAAAGATGACTACAAATCGTAATTTTTATCAGTCTTAAATTACATATTAGCTTTTTTATATTTTACCACCAAATGTTAATTTCATTTTCATTCATTTTCAGCAGCAATAAATTATTTTTGTTATTACTTCCTTACTAAAATGCAGAGTCGTCTGTCTAGTCACTGTAAAATTGCAAACATTTTAGTTTTCACATTTATATTAAGATTGCGCTTGTATTTCTGTTGCAAGTATATTATACCACAATGAACTGCAAATCTAAAGCTTTAATATTCCTAACATGTAAATAGTTATAACTTAATTCCATGTTCTATTTTGACATTTTAGTGAAACTCTTTCATACAAAAATAAGATCAAATTTACTGCTAATTTTTCTCATGCAATATAAAATTGTTTACAAAGGCAGTAATTTTTAACACTTTTCTTTTAAGATGTAAAAAAATGTTCAGGCAAGAACAAACACGATCCGAAGAATATAGTCCAGTCAACGACATCATTTGCATTTGTAGCAGTTACTTCTTGCTCTGCTTTGATGTTCAGAGCTATGCATGCAACCAAGACCAACACCATTGTAGAGTGCATTTTATGCAAATTGCTGCTGCTTCTCATTGTAGTACCACACGTCCTTTGTTTGTAATTTAAGCTGAAAACTTTTTCGATAGATATAACGACGAAGCTATACTGCCTGATAGTTCAAATTGTATGCTGTTCATTTAATTTGAGGATCTTTTTTCACTGAAAATAGCTATCTATTGTGAAGGGTATATCTCCAAAGTTGAATTAGGACCCAACAACTTTCAAGTCCATAATTAACGATGAAAGGAAGAATGTAACAAACAAACTTAGTAGACAAAGCAACTACTCGTCTTAATCTAGACGGATATAAATGCCCTCATCTTATCGAATGTGACTATTTGTATCACTCATTAATAATTTACGATAACAAACTTTGCATAACTCTCCAACTTTGAGAACGGAATTTTGTACCTGTTACGCTGAATTTCATTCACAACATTTACATCTGATAGAAAGAATGCTGTTGAAAACAGAGATTACTCACTTCCAATTAATGATTCTAATGAGTTAATCAGCTCAATGATGATATATGTATGAGAGTAACAAGTTTGATTTAATATTGTTTGAATTTTCTTAGAGCGAAATATCGCTACTATAACAATGAATCTGATTTTAATATTAATCGCTACTATAACAATGAATCTGATTTCAATATTAATATTTAGTTAATTGAATACAGAGTTATGAAACGAATTGGAGTGAGCGTGATTCTCGAAAAACTTGGTTGCAAAAAGACAATGGTATTAACATTTGGTCAGGTTAACTAAGATAACTGTAGAAACAGTGGCCGTGTGCATTTATTTTAAAGTCAACTACTTTCCATTATTCAAGTCAGTTCTTCTGTAAAAAGAACTCCTGGTGCAATTTTGTCAAGGATACAAGATTTTAAGATTGCTATTATTTCTACAATCCAGTGTATTTTGACGAATTACTTCAATCTTCTCAATTTAATACCTCATGTATGAAAACATAAACTATGTTAAGAAATACGAAAACGAGCACCAAATTATCGACACGAATTCCAAATCTTTCATAAACAATCATCCTTATTCAAATTCTTTGCTGTTGGCAGAACACCATCATTTTCCTGTGTGCACATTTCTGCTCTCAATTCCTATATGTTCACAGATCTTAATGGGAAATAAACTTCCCCATTCATGTATTTTGCCGCCATAGAAAAGTCATGACACCGAATCCATTCCGCCAGAATACAAATATCACTGATATGCAAAAGAACTGACTTGAATAATGCAAAGTATACGGAAAAGGCCGCTAGCTCTACAGTTACCTTAGTTAACCTGATCTAATGTTAATACTATCTCCTTGGGACCGATTCTTCCGAGACTGACGGTCAGTCAAATTTGTTCCATAATCCTATATTCAACTAACTAAAACTTAGCCTAGTAAATGAAGCACTGTCCGATCGGAAATCTCCTAAGTCTTCAAAACAATCTTCCAGACGAGCATTTTCTAAAGCAGGTCAGGTGGAACAAATGTTATGGTAATCAAAATTAATCCAAAGGATATTTGCAGGAAAGTTCCAACATTACCATATCGACAAGCCATAATCTACTCAACAACTCAAGAAAGCTCGTGCATTCCGACTGGTAGTACCTGATTGGTACTACTCATATATGATCTCAGTTACAATATGTTCCCACAACACGTGTCGAAAAAATCCACCAATACTACGACAACTTACAATGCTGTGTAAACAGCAGTTTTTCCCTTATACTTATTATACTTGACGTGCATCAGTGCTACTTAAAATCAATGTTCCTTGCTTTGCAGTAAATTATACAATTCTTTTATATAATTGTATTTATTTCACAGGTACATAAAACCAAGTCCATCTTTTTAGTGAGGGCTTACTGAAATTGATGAAATAAACAAATTTATCACAAACGTGCATGAGATACCAGGTATTTATAAGAGCGGTACTACTTATCAAAACAGGACGCGCAGTAGTAATTATTGGCGGTTACTTCTAACTGCAAACACTTAGAATGGAAGTTTTTGTGGCAGCGACTACAAGACACGCAATCATTTGCGTCAAGCACAAAGCCAGGTTTGCAAGCACACAACACCTGAAATTATGTGAGATATACTAAAAGCTGCAATTTAGAAATAACAAAAATATTTTTACAAACTTAATTGTTTCAACATCAGTCTAATTCTGTCTATAAATTCTTTGATTGTGTACTTGTCATTGTTTGTTTATCTAACATTTTTGTGTTATCCAAATGACATGAATCTCTCGTCTCATCGGAAAGAATTTTAAGAGTTCAAAGAATCGTTTTACTTCATATTTGAAAAATGAGAAACTATTTTCCAGTGCTCACAAGTTAAGGCATCCTTTAATTACTTCATACAGTTTAATAAACTTTTACTTAATTACTATACCTGTAATCAGACAGTGCTCAGTTGAGCTTAATTTTAAATCGTTTGAATTAGAAAGAGTAAAGAAAACAGTTCAAATCCATTGCCGGAAACTATCTAGAAATAAATCACTAACCCTCAAGAAACCCAACTGTTCTTGTCGTGGTTGCTCCATATTTTGCGTGACAAAATCTTGTGACAGTGATATAGCTTGCTGATCATCATCGTCAACATTAATAAGTGAAACTTCTACGTTTCTTTCGGGTGATAATGAGGAATACTCAGAACAATCAGAGCAAGGAATGGGAGAATTATATACCGAATCTCCTTCTTCTAAACTACTTTCCTGCAACGGTTCTAAAGCTACGTAGGAATTCTGCGATGAAGCAGCAGAGTCTGCTACAACCGAATACTGCTGCTGTTGTTGGTTACTTTGTAAGCTGACTGCAGCCGAGTTACTGTAAACAGGTACTTGATAATGTTCCCCTGCTACTATAAACTGATTCGGAGATGTAGTTTGGACTGATCCAAGAAGCTCAGATTCATGAGCCACAGCTCGACTTCTTTTCGATGACCTTGACCTAGAGTTTATAGAACGACTTGAAGCCCATTCCGGACGATCTTCGACCATTACTGTTTGTCGCTGTGGAACCCGTGGTACTCTAAAGTCATGAGGTCTTGCATGAGATGGAATAGACGACATAGTACTTTGGAAAGGCGCTTTTTCCCGGATAATGTAAGGCTCTGTAGGCGCCACCGTGGATACATTATCATTTTCAGCAATTCTGTAAGATTCTGGAGACTCATAAGCTGGAATTTCATATGGCTTTTCTGAAATCGAATGCCGCTGAGATGTAAGATGTGGAACTACCGTTGAATGATTGGGTGGTAATATGAACGGGACAGTAACTTGTGAAGTGATTGAATGTTGAGATGGACTGCGCGGTGTTGTTAGGGTACAAGAGAAATCTTGTAAGGAGAAATTGTTCTGTTCTTCCGGTGGTGGTGCAATAGCCAAATGATCATACATCATTTTCTGTGTTGCATTAGAATTGCGAGACAAAGTTCTTAACTGAGAAGCGCCTGAACCTATAGATGAACTGCGTTCTAAGACTTTGGTAGGGACATGTAATGCTACTGCCTCGTCAGAGTCTGAACGAGGAACTGGAGTTTGTAACACGCTGCCTCTATCTTCCAAAAGATTCTGTGTTAATAGCGCCAAACATCTAAAACAAAACACTGGCTAGATCAGTAGACCCACATGAAATATGCAAGGCAGACGTCTGATATTCCTGAGAATAGAATATATGAGTCTTCAAGAACAAACGATCTAGAAAAAGAAGCACTAAATATGAAACCAAATTACTCACGGAGTAATCTTCTCTAAACCATCTGTTACTTTCAATTTTTCGAGCATCATCTCTGAATAGAACCAACGAACACTCTTCAAAATAATTTTAGAAGCTTGACCAGGAGTGTTTGCTCCTGAAAACAATATTCAAAACTTTTAAATGGGCATTCGAAAATTCAGATCTAGACACCAGAATATCGAAATTGTAACCTATCCGCCGATTTAAAATTCCTGTTCCGTTGTTTGACCACGGTGCACAAAAAGGAATTTCAGGTGGCCAACAATCTGGCTGCAGTCCATCATAAGGATCATTCCATGGAAAATTGACATGCAACATTAAGTCCTCCAGTAAATCTTGAAATAAGATAGATAAAACGATTACGACTTATAAATCAGGCATACTAATAAATAATAAAATTTTAAATATGAATTCTCGTTTCACCAGTATCCATAAAATTAGATTATCTTGAGTGGATCTATTTATAAACTAATGTGCTGATCATGAAATCATATTGATGTATATTTTGCGGCTCAAACTATGAAAATCGCTATTTAAAATCATGATTACTACTAATAACCTATTTAAGAGAATACATTTCTTTGAAAAGTGCTTTATTTTTCGCAGCTGTTCAAAAGTCATTTCTAAAGTTCTAGTGACTTGCATCAAAAACTGTAACTTAGTTAGAGAGTATGGAAAACATATTAACCTTCTGACGCCACTTAGCTAACTTTTCATTTCTCAATGAAAGTAGAATTGATATATTTGTTTCTTAATCACAGAATCCGCAAATTACTTACCTAGTGCTTGATCTTCAGTCATCCGATCAACAAAGCTGTCTTCAAAAACTTGAAGCAATGGCAGTATTATAACCTGCTGAAATTTTGAAAAAAAAGCATTGATATAGCTTGATATGGATGTTAGCAGCCCCTAACGCAAAAACTATTAATATGGAATATTCCATAATAAATTATAAAGGATAAAGCATTAATTGGGAGCTCACATTATCAAAACCGCAGTCTTTAGCCTGAGGCAAACACTGAAATATATTTGAACCCAAAAATGATGAGATCAGAGTTTTGTCACCAGATAAAGTTATTCTGCTCCGTTCATCCATAAAGACCATCATCGCACTGCATGTCGAATGGCTTTGGATTTTCATGATCGATTCCCAAACTGTGCGAACATCTGCCTCCATCTGATCATAACGTACACGCAGAACTGATGAAAAGATAATGTAACAAACGTAATCATGGCGATGTGTTAGTGAGAATCATTTGTCTCTAATATTAACTTAATTGGTGTGCTAAACAGTACCTAGATAAATTCATTCAAATCCAACAGATTTATTTTCGAAGAATTTCCACCTAATAAATTAATTTCACACGCAAATCCTCAATAGAGAAAATGTGATCTATACTGTATACAAAAACATTCACATGCTTTCACATATTGAATCACGAACTCACCCGAATTACGATTGAGTGCTAAGTGGTTTTCTAAGATCTTTTCATTTGAAAGTGAAAATATGGGTACGGGCGTTGATATAAGATTAGTTTCAGATATCTCTGTGTCTAAATTTGAATACTCTCTATCTGGTGGCATATTCGAGACTTCCGAAACACAGCTAACAGACGATTCTGAATTTTGTTTTTCACTGGGTTCTTTTCTAACTTTCATGCTCTCCGTTTCTACCGTATCTCCAGCTGAAAAACTGGAGGTATAATTTTAAAAATAACTGGAAAAAACTAGCCACGATGAAAAACAGAATAGCTTACAGTCAAAATCTGTTCCTTATTTTAAGCAACAAACATGTATTTCTCTGAGACTAAAAATTACTATTGATCTCAGCCTGAGCTGAATTACCATTTACAATAACATTCTGTTGGACATTGCCTGCCATTAGTACATGGTCAATATTTCGCGAATCTTCATCGTAATCTGCAATACTTCGGACACATCAAGAAACTCCACAAATCAGAGATGAACATAATTACAACAAATGAAATGGTCAATAAAGTCGAAGTAAAAATTTCGCAGTTAAAAAACACCTTAAAATTTTCACTCAATATAGGGTTAAGAAGAACACTACTTATCTATTTCCAGTTTTACAAAAAAGCACACGAACGTACTAGGACCACGAAGTCCAAAATGGTATTCCATGAAGCTTTCATAGTGTCTGAATCCATGCTCTAGAACATCTCTTTCAAACACTTTAAGTGATTTTTTAGTGTTTTCTGAAAACGGAAAAATAAACATTTTGGTTTATGAACACTAATCATAATAAAAATAACTAATAAAAAGATCTGCATACCCACTTTAGTTTTTAACGAAAGGGAATAGAAGTTCGTCAAATTAAATTTTGTGCGAAGGCTGCTTTTCTCAAGGAAATTCTGATGCGGTGATAAATTTAAACCGAAAAAATCACTTTCAGGATCGAAAAACGGAACTGAAGGTGGCCAATAATCGGGAAGGCATGATTTTTCAAACCACGGATACCAAGGATAATGCATTCTATCCAAAAATTTGACTAATTTGGAATGGATATGAGCATTACTGGCCATATCAATTTCTTCTTTCGGCAAACACTTAATTATCGGAATTGATACCAACTGCAAAAGATAGAAGATCGGTTCGAAAATGCTTAGTTTTTGAGAGCCAATTAAAGATTGACAGAAAATCTTTGATCATTTTAGTAAAGAAAAGCCAATCATATATATATATATAACACTGATAACTGAAAAGAGATAGAACGGAAAAGTGTCCTTCAATAGTAACATAAATGGATCTCAGCAACATGAATAATTTTATGCTTACTATATAACTCTGCAGATTTAAATTAATTGGCTCTTCTTAGAAAGGTACAAAATCAAGTAAAATAACCTCATCGTCATCAATACCATCTTCCTCAACAGTCTCGCGATTTCTCCAATTTTTTCTCAAATCCCGAACAACAGTCGAGTTTAAACATGCTTGGACAACATACTTACTACCATACATCTTCAAATCGCCATCTTGATCCATATGTATCACCGCAAGTTTATTATTACTTAACAAATTATATCGAGCGACAGCGCACTCTATTTTCCTCATTTTTTTTATCACATAAGACTCGGTGTATGGTTCATCTAAAATGTTTTAGCCATTAACTTTTTAGTCGATTAAATTCTACGAAAATCTGCATCATATAAGATACAAAACAATTAATATAGAAAATTTTTTCCGATAAAACTTAAAATTACAATGGTTTTTATAGTTTAATGCTCCATATATGCTGAACACTTAAGCTAATTTCTGAGTTATTGTAATAGAAAGCAATTAAAAACATAGAAAAGCACTCTAATTGAGTGCTTTTCTATGTTGAGAAAGAAACTAATCAGTAAAGATGAGAAGAATGCTCATTTTGGAATAACTAAGAAAATGCAAATATGACATGAAACAACCGCTATTTTCCCAATACCATAGCAGAAATGAAATCACAAAAAACTAACTTTTCGCAGCACACGGTAAAATACCAGCTGGAGACATGAAAGTAATATATTCCCGGCCCGGTTTAGCATCCATTGCTTCATCTTTCCTCAATTCTATGAAAAAAACGACAAGTATTAGGAATTAAACAACAAACGCTAAAAAATCAACGCTGTGCACACCAAATGATGAAAAAATGCAAAAAACACAGAAAAGGAATACATGTAAGAAAAAATAAACGCCAAAACTGAGAATCTATTTTGATTTACTCGAATTTACGAAACAATAACGAACTTGCTCTTATTAGTTCTTCTAAGTCTTGTAACGTTTCTACTGGATCGGGAAATAGACCAAATGGACTAAAGCAGACTTGGGTCGACTTTGAAGCTTGGCTGAATGAATCACTAACTTAAAATACTCGACAGGGTTCATAAAAATGTAACAATGAAAAATATACAAAAGCACAGCTTGCTATATGATCGTTAATAATAGTGTATTCCCTTTTGTAGTGTTTAACAAAACTAACATTACCATTCAGTAACAGTAAAGTACTACAACAGAATGTAGAAAAAAACTAGGATTTATGAAAATCCCATTACAATTTTTACAATTTTTAACCGCTCATGAAGAAAGTGCAATACCAAGAACTAACTTCGGCTGATAGAAAATTTGCTCATCTGAAACATCTGCACTTCCAACTGCCTGTTCATTTTCTTGAACTTTATTTTCCAGATTCGAGTAATTAGAATTAGAAATTCCTTGCTGTTCTTTACTAGTTTCTTTATATGGTCCTCTTTCTATACCTGTTATTTCTAGAATATACATAAACAGATTTCAAAATGTGAGATTTTACGTTAAGATGTAAAGAAATACAAAAGTGAGCAAAAAAAGAAAACGATACGAGACGAAAAAATCGCGAGGTTTAACTTCAAGATAGAGAATTATATATACTACAATATAAAATTTTCAAATGTTAGTTACAGAATTAATGTAGGGAATATAGCAAAAATACACCTGCTGGAGTAGCAGATCCCGAACTTGGCTCATGCGAAGGCTTAGTTGAAGATTCTTCTACTGTCCTATCAACTGCAGGTTTGGCTTCCGTAAAGCGTTTAGGTCTTCCAAAATTATAAATGAAATCGCATAATGATTCTTCTTCAAAATCATCTAAGTCGAAATCACAGCCCAAATTACCCTCACTTTCACTCAAGATTTCTGAGCCACTAATCTCCTGCCTACAAAAGCATACTAGTTTTGCCGCAGTAACTCCCCTTTCATATGTCCTTGATGACAAACAATTGATTTAAGTTGATGTAAAATCTCTAAAATGCAGTACAATGCTTTATAGAGTATGTTCAAAACCAAAAAAAAAAAACACACATATCGTTCGAATTATCTTCGAATAGTTCTATACGTGGTCTTTTTGGTTCAATAGAGTGTGACATATCAAAGTCAATTATTTTCAATTTTTTCCTGAAAACATTTTATAATTACAGAATGATGTGCACTTCTTCCTGTAACAGTACTTTTCACGTGAAAATAGTTGAACAATCAAGACACTTTTACTGCCTGCATCTAATTTACTAAAACTAGAAAGCACAAAAATAATGAAGCATACTCAATATTTTTTTTCGTTTCTATGCGCTGCTTAATTTGCATTTGTCGCCTTACATACCTCGACCGTAAAACGCCATATGAAATTTTTACTTTGTCCCACTCCGGAAATGCTGACAGTAACGAATTAGGACCATACACAGGAAAACCAGCTCCTTTCGCTTCGGAAATGGCTGCTTTCCGTCCCTTGAAATTTCCAAATGTAAAAAAGAAGTCACTTTGCATTTTCTGCTTTAACCAACAACTTGGAGATAATTTCAACTTCCAATCTTTTTTTCGAACATGTAGCAAGTTCCAGTCGTTAATGACGTAAGTAGTTTCGTGACAAAAGAAAAATGTCTATTTGCGTAACTTTTAATCTTTTAAATTAAGAGAATATTGAATAACTAAAATACCATTTTCCAAGCCTCCAATGGATTCATGCCCTCAATAATGGCCTTTCGACAACGCCTTTCAATTTCTCTGGCTCTCGCTTCCACTAACTTTATTGGTTTGCATAGACTATGATGTTGTGGATATAAGGAAGTAATAACTAAACCATCAACCATTTTGATACGTGCGATATCACCTAAAAAATGAGATTTCGTAATAAATTATTTTACAAGAAATACCACTTAACCATTAAGGAAAAAGTGAATTTATGAAAAATTTTACTTACCACTTCTGTAGGTACGATATAAACTGTCACAACGAGAACATCTGAAATGTATAGTTTGTCCAGTTTTCGAATGCGATGCGTGTCTATAAAATCGAACCTCGTTGTTACCGACAGGTACTGTTAGCGAAGTCTGCTTGTAACGTTGTGAAAACGACATATAATATGGAGCCTTTGGAGGGACACTAGAAGAAATAATATCAGCAGCAAAATACATGAATGATACTGAATGAGGCAGCAAAAGTAATTCACATTCAGAGCCAAATAATACAGTCGATTACAAAAGAACTGATGAATTAATTACATCCGTTAATTTCCATTTTTGAAGAGTAATGAAGCATAACTATAAGTGAGTAAACAGTTGCAAATTAAAACTACATATACTACTTACAGAAAAATTACATGCGCAACAAAATTATTAAAGAAACTATGAAAATATGCAACAAAATAGTATTGAAACTTTTAATATTAATAATGACGTCAGAAAAAGTCCTAAGAATCATTAAGGATACTAACCTAAGTGGAGCATCAACAGAGGGCACTAAAGTTTTGCTTGCTGTGTTCGTCAATGTTTCATCATTTTTTTCACGAAATGAAGAACCCACATCTGCACCGTCACAACTACCGATTTCATCGTTGCACTTCGAAACACTGCTTTTTTCTGCATGTGCATCCTGTAATTTAATGGACAATATACACCGCATTATAACCGAAGCTTACAATTTTGGTCAATCTTAATTCTACATGAGTCAGAAACATTATTAGTGGTAAAAATGCAAAATAAATTTTTTAACTGGTTATAATGTTCCAATAAATGAATCTTAATTACATTAGATCAGATTCTCTTTATCACGTGATAAAAAACTGAAATATTTTAAAACAGCTTCACATCAGCTTCTGATTATTATCAATATATCTTAACTTTTAAATATTATGAGTGAGAACACAAAATCTTTTTTACTGGAAACTAAATTCATCTAAGAATTTATCCACCCACTTGAAATCTAATTTTTCCACATCCATAAAATATATAAGAAACTAAAGAACAGAAAATAGCTTTTAATGTTTAAGTACTGGAAGTATTTGCAAACGAAAACAAGCGACAACCACATCTATGGAAATTATGATATTATGCATAATTTTAAAAATATTATATTTTAATTTTTCTATTATTAAAGTAAATGAATCGAAATTTAAACTGCTTCAAAAAACGACAATTATGATGAAAATGATAAGAATACTATCACATCAACAAAAGGTTAATTAAAATACAGCAATATATCCAAATTATATAAATAACTTACTAAATCGTCAAGTATTCGGCTTTTTACCCTTACTGTTGTTGTCGATACTGTACTTCCTGTAATTTTAGTGATCATCTCAGCACCTTCACGCGAGCTGATTTTTCGGTTCTTGAAGTCGCGTAAGACATTTCTAACGCCTGGATGTAGCCAATTAACGTTACATGCTGGACCTAAAATACACAACTGTGAATTTTTTACACAATGTCAGTTCAATTTCTTCATTCGCGAATTCAGTGTTGCAGTCAGACTTTGAAGTAACACAGTAAAACTTCTAAAAAACTCACGGTTTTTACGAAATAATGGTGGTGTCCAAGTACTAGGATCAACTTGTACAGTGTTACCATTGCCATTTCCCTCCTTGATATTCTTGTGAGTCCATCTTGGCTCAACAGATGGCTCAGAACGGACTTGACTACTTGTAGTACTTTTCATGATCTCCCTTGAGCGATTAGTATTTTTTTCACACTCCGAAGAATACTTCGCAGATTGGTTATTGATCGTATTATCCACATAGCTTGATTCCTCATTAAATGCATTATTTTCGCCGAAAATTTGCGTTGGCCGGTCTGAAAATTACACAAACAAAAAAACGAAAACAACAAAGCCTTATTAGTTTTGATGATTTGATACTATTATCATGTACAAAATAAAAATAAGGTTAATAATCACTTTCTGAACCCTGATTGTAATCAAGGAGCTCAGCGTTTGCTGTTCGAGAGCGCCTAAATGCTTTGTCGGTTGATTGCAGATGATCCTGACGATAAAATTCATCATCATTTTCCTGATCGTTGTTTATAGAACTAATATCAAGATTATTGGAATTATTCCTGGATAGATGTATTTCCTCCAAGAACTGCTGATCTTCATTCTCATATTGTGAATCAACAATTAATGAACCATGTTCTGGAGTGAAAGCCATCTATTACCATTCAGTATGCAGTCAACCTGAAGCAACTAGATTTTGGTAAATCTTTTTTGGAAAGTAAAACTAGATGCCCAACAACATGATATTTTTTCCTACAACTAGTGATGAAATAAAATATGGCAAAGATTAGAAGTGAAGCGCTTGCAAGGTTCTTTAAGGACGAGATTCAAACAAATAAAAACTCATATGTAAATAAATGGAAAATTTTCTGCACGATTTCCTTAAGATTTAGGTACAAATGAGACTAAATATTTTAAAACAAAAGCTTTCGATATATCAGAGTAATAACAATATAATGAAATAGCTGACCATGGACATCTTATCAATAAAACATAACGCGTGCTAGGGTAAGTGTAATATTGCACAAAGAAATGAATTTAACAATAACTTCAGCAAACTTGGAAATGAACTTATTAGTAATAGTAAGATTAATTTACTGATTCATATCATTGTAATGAAAACTAAGTCTCGTATTTAACATGTGTAAAGAAGAAATTTGACATAGACTTAATTTCTTCACTTATTACCTTAATGTAGAGCTTAAGCTTCACTTCTCAAACAACCTTTATAATACGGATTTTTGAGATAATTATGTGAATTCATCAACGTTTTGTTTACAAATATGAGGCGAAACATTTGAAAATTACTGCGAACTGAGTGATACCAGAGTGCAATTCCAAGTTGTTCACAAATTTACTCATTCATTGTATCTTTAAATAGCATACATAAAATCTCCCTAAAACTTTTAATAATTAAAATATTGCAGCGATTGAAGGATTGTTTTACAAAAAAAAAAGCAAGATATATGAATTCTAATTCTAATGATGTCAAAAAAAACGTGTTTCAAGAATAATACAGATGTTATTTCAAGTTGGACATACACTCATGTCGGCTTCAAGCCACATTTGTTTGCGCAAAGTATAATTGGCATTACTTTTTATTGCACCTTACTGAAAACATGACGTTCATGAAAAAATTCGGAAAGCACTGCTCATTTGAAAAAATTAACATACGATGTAAGAAATGGCAAGATATGCTTAAAATAGAAGAGAGGCAGTGCGAGGAAAGAGTACGGAAAAACGCATGTATGTAAGTATACTCATCACGACAGCAAGGAAAAATACAGAGCAAAAACATTCCTACTTGGCAGTAAATTTCTGAGCGAATGTAGGAGGAAGAAAAGTAGACAATGCTTGGAACGATGTGCGTATGTTTGCTGTAGTGTGCTCTCTACAGACAGTGAGCAATGACAAGCGAGAAGCAGAACTGCCTCGTCTAGCACATCTCTACGATTCATGAATGCAAAATGATATTCTCTATATTGTCCGTGTGCAACGCCCTCGAAAACACGCTACACTTTAATAGTTATGCAGTTCCCGCCATCACTAGTAGCCAAATTTATATTCGCACTTACTCTTCCCAGCGGAATATTTCCTCCCTCAAACGTAATTCATTCAGGCTAATCTACAAATTGTTGTTACTTCTCTTTCTCTAACACAGCTGAATGCAATAAAGTAACACTACAACTCATTAACTGACAGTAAAGGCAACAATAAATCCAATGTACTCATTACGACCACTTCCTTCTGTATATTATAAAGTGAACCACTACGCAACGCAAACCTTTTCCTCAAGCACAATTCACTTATGTGTAGTTATGTCAATCCACTAATAAATTATACCAATTTATTAACTAAGAGAGAGTACATCACAGCAACACATACGCACGCACATCGTTCTAAGCATCGTCATTACTCCTCTTCCATACTTGTACCAATTTATTTATTCCTTCTGCAAGTCTTCAAAGATACAACATGCTTCTTACAATCATATCATTAGTAAATAAAAACAAGCAGGGTACTGAATCATTCGCCGTGAGCTCGGTATAAAGTGAGAACAACTACAACAGTATGTGGTTGTAGTTGTTCTCACTTTATACCGAGCTATATCATTTTGAAATAAGTTGTAGCAAGTACCTACGTACTCATTACTTGAATACTGACTTCCAGTACCCATAAAAATTTTGCTTTTGCTAACTTCCAACGTTACGCTTAAGAGATAGCAAAGTATGTTCAGTTTACTACAACTTATTTCTCTACAAATAATTTGCTATCACTCATTTGCTTCACACATACGTATCGATGAAAGCAATTCAACCATAGAGCAAACTGAACTGCACGCAACATAGAAACCTTGAACTGAAATCCGGAGCCCTGGCTAACCACAGTGAGTTACAAGGGATCGATATGCATGTTAATTGTCTATGGGTTTTCCTCTGTTTCCTTGTACTACTTTGATTGAGCGAATGATTGCCTCTTGGTGAAAATAAAACGTCCTTGCCATCTGTTTCTTAAAAAGTACGACTTTGTCGTATCTGAACATAATGGACTATGCTCAGGAATTTCTCGCAAAACATTTTTGGAATGCTAAACTAGCCATTTGTAATAAAAATATCTGATTTTCGATTAAAATCACTTCAGTTCAAATAGGCCTGGTCATATTTTTTGATTTTCGTCATTTGCTTGCTCTCTTGTTAACGCTCTAAAAAATATTGAAGCAGATTAACTGCAATAAACATAATAAAGATTATTCTCAATAACGGTATTGAAGAGTTCAATTTTTCTATCACATTTAACCAAATAAAAATTTGAATTCAAGTGAATTCATTATGAGATAATTTTTATTTGGAAGCAAAAGATATGTATTGTGAACCGAAATTAGTGGCAGATGAGAAATTTAAAAGTCGGCGTCAATCTTTGTTGTAGGAAATATTTTAAATAACTTTTATTAATTTAACTGTATTCTTATTGTGATCAACTAATTCTAGTTCATCAAATTTTCAGTGTTTAAATGAAGAGTAAATTCAGGGTATGTAGTGACCCTGATAGTAAATGACCTCACAGTTCTATATTGCGAATTAATCGCTGTGAATTTTTTTGATAGCATAAAGAATTAAAAAATGGCATTAAGTCGTCTGAATGCGTTGCTTGTTTCCAACAGTTAAAAAGATTTTCAGATAAATTGTTTATGTAGTGAAGTTCTGCGTTGTAGTTTCATGAGATTTTTTTACTTATTGCACCTTTAACACTTTTAGCCTTTACTTTATACAAGAGTAAAGCAGTGTATTCAAGCATTTCGTTGGAAGAAACATTTATTTTTAAAAACTCTGGTTGGATTACAGAATTGTCTAAATATGTGTACTCGTATAAACGTCATCTGCAATGTTTTGTATTCAGAGTAATAACAGTAGTGGTTAAAAGACTAAACATGAAATGCAGCGGGATTTATGCTGCACAACCAGTTCTTTTGCTGTCGCTTCTAGTCTGATGTATTGTATATATTTCTACAAATAATTTAAAAGTAAACTTTTATCGACGAATTGAAAGCACTGAACTAAACAAGAAGACTGGTAAAAAACTGAAATAGTAATAGTGGTGTCTATTTAAAAAAGAGGGAAAACGATACATCTGACACATGCATTACGTCAAATGAGTAGCGAAATTAACCGCGATTGTTGGAAAATATTTGTGGGGAAACAAAAATTACTTAGATAAGAAATATATACTTAGAATTAGATTACTTATGCAGGGTGACGAAATTATTCGTGTCAGCAGGAAAACATTTTAATTTAATTTTTATTGTTATTCGATAGCAATTATAGCAAACTACTAATCAGTTTGAACATTCATTATTTTTATTAAGTCATGGATTACAGGGTGTTCTCAAAAGTAAAAGTAAGTTAAATAATGACAATTTAAAGAACTGCCACTAACTATTCTGCATTTGCTGTGTGGAAAATTTTTTCTTTTCCATAATAAAATTTAGCAAAATCCTAGAAAGCTAAAAATCAAGTTTTCGAAATATAAATAATGTATCTTCATTTGCAGCATCTCTTTTACGAACATTTTGTAACAATGCCGGATAATCATAATTTGAAGCAAAATATCAGTTATAAGTGGGTGATACATGAAATACCAGTAAGAACTAATAAATTGAATCTGAATATTTGAAAGCATCCACGTAGGGTAGTAATTTACTAACAAAAAAAAAACATTTATTGCTTTATAGTTTCATTTTCTTATGAGCAGAATAAACTGAATCACGAAAGAACAAGAATGATACAAAAATGAGTATCAAGTGCGAGTTCGAATTCACTCGTCACCGTAAAATTACATTTAAAACTGTCTAACATATGTTTAACAGTTGTGAAACAAACTCATTAAAATGTAATTACTCAGCTTTAAATACAATTTAAAAAAATATAAGTATATGCGTAATTTTCCCGGTATCATTCATTACACGTGATTTACTAAACTTCATGTCAGAAAGACCTGTTGATGAACATAATCAGAGTGAAATTAATTTTAAGAAAAAGTAATTGTTGAATGGTAATCAAGAATTGTAGCAGCAGTCATAAGAGCATTTCATTACTGTAGTATGCAACAAACAAAAAACTATGTTAAATAAAGCACTTGATGAGCAACAGCTAGGAAAGATGGCCAGCTAAGTAAAACATGAAAACATTATTCAGGTGAATTTACATCAAAATATGGCAGTTGTAATCATTGCTACAGAATGAATTCGGAGACCAATATATAGCATTCAAAACTTGATGAACTGCATCAAATCAAAAATTGAACTACCGTAATTTGAAGCTTGATTTTCAGGCTTTTCTGCAAATGTAACCCTATATCAATCTTTTGCAGAAATAAAGCATTTTAATACACTGAAGATAAAAAGCAAGAATTTGTAAACAAATCATTTTCAAAAAACTACATAAATCTAACCATATCTTATTTAACTCTCTGAAAAATAACTTTTTAAGTAATGCAATTCATTAAAGTCATTCTTCACTTTCACGAAAAATATTTTGGAATGCAGTCTCTAATGATACATTTACTAGGATTCATGTAAAAGATTATAAACATGATAAAATGTAATACACCGCAAAGTCATTTTACTTCATTTTTTCTCATTTACTGCACAAAAAAAAATGATGATGAGAGTTTTTAATTCAATTTTCTACACTCAATCATCATCAATCTTTTATTTTCGTAAAATCGTGCAATTCATTTTAATTTATGGCATATATTAATTCTTTACCTACTAACTACTTTTTTCAGAACTTTGAATAATTTCATGCAATCGTCGAAGCTAGTCATCTGAATAATAAGTAAAACACCTAGTACAAAACGTGATAAAACGTTACTGAAAAAAGAAATACAGCTCTTGAAAATAAAAGACAAATAATTATTACAATGTAAATGTTGTAATACACGCATTGAGTTGTGAGAAGATGGCGTCTTATCACACTGAGGTGATCTGTGGAGGTGATAAGATGCTGGCATTTCACTCTTTTTACCTTACGAATTCAACATATATTCCACTATGGATTAATTGATTTCTCATCATCGATTATATATATGTTAGTTAGGTAGATTTTATTCCTGCCATTGCATAAGGTCAAGTTTTGGTATAGCCGAACAAGGCGTTAATTTTTCTTGAGGTATTAAAAAGGCGTCTTGAGAGATAGATTGAAAATTATCGCTATTATCACAGATTATCCGAGCCATTGTAACTTTTTGTAATTCTCTTAACTGAGCTTCGGTAAAAACACCTGGACGTTCATAATAAAACCTTAAAAATGTAAATATGTTTCTAATTTTCTCCAAGGCTAGTAGCGATCGCCACTAACATTTAAAAGTATTATCATCCACAGATTATCAACAACCAAAAAAAACATTGAGTGATTATAGAAGTAAATGTGCTCTCTGATATATAAAATCGAATCTGTATGATACTGATTGTAAAGAATAATACCACAAAAATGAAGCTATATATATAAGTAAGAATGAAATAAGGATGTTAATTTTCTGCCTTTTATTGATGTGTGTGGATCGCATTCCGGTAATCTGGCAGAACTTGTTCAGCCCTCATATTCATTGTGTTCATCGTTTTCGCTTCGTCCCCGTGAAATCCGTAACAAGTGTCGAAGGAGATGCTCTTGAGCGTCTTCTTTTTAGCTCGACGTGATCACACGTACTCATCTCCTTCGCATAGCGTTTTGGAAATTCGTCACTATCCCATCCCAAGTCATCATATAGTAATTATTTTGGTCCTGCATTTTATCTTTACCCAAGCTTATTAGCAAGTAGGTTATATTTTCGCTTTTTCGAAACTAAAATAAATAGAACCATCTTCTGAACAACTCAAATAAAGCGTTCTGTATTTTGAATGCACTTGAGCCTGATCACTTTTTATTTTACTTTCGTAAACTCTCACACGGTCTGTCAATATGCTTAACGCTTCATGACAGTCACGCTTAAGAGCAAGTATGAGATTCATCTCCCTCATACACTTCTTGGCCTGGTTTAAATCTGTACCTCCCAGTTTTTAACCGGCTAAAGTCCGTTCTATGAGGGATTTGTGGAAATTCAGCAAGCTTATCTTTTTTTTCTATGCTTGCTTTCCATCCCGATCCCGATGTCTTCTTCTCTCGTCTCGTCATGTCTTCATAACATTGTTGTGCTGTGTGGAGCTGCATTACAATATCATTGACTTGGGGGGATTCTGTGTAGCATATTCACCCGCTGCTTGGTTTACTGCTCCAAGTATGAGCAGATCTACGCTCTCCGATGTTATTTTCCGCGTCTACTTTGTCCGGTTTATCTCACGTCTCTGCGCCTCTCGCATCAGCATTAGATATTTTTCCGTG